GCAGAGCTGCTGAAAATCTCGCCCAAATTGGAGTCAAGTGTTTTTCCTTATTTTCTCTAGCCTTTCCTTTTTTTTGTTTTTACAGCCAGGACATAATAGCATTCGCCCTCCCTTTCTTTCGCGTTCGCTTTCTCTTTACAACGTTTTACACACACAGACCACTCTAACACATATACAAACGTAGACTGTACACTATGCGAAATTTTCGGTACCGTGATATGTGGTTATTTAATGTCTAAAGCCTTTTAACCATTTAATCCTTTTGACATCGTGTTTTATAAGAAGATATAAATAGTACATTTATTATAGAATTTATGTTTAATTTTCATTAGGATTAATATAATAATATGTTTGGGATTTAGAACACGGAAAGCTAATTAGAATATTACTCATCCGCCTCGTTGGCCTGACAGCTCTGTCATTAGCTTTAAACCTGTACGTTGTCTTTCGAGCAGTGTGCACCGGTGTAAAAGCTTGAGCGCAGCACACAAGCCTTTTCCCCCATTTTCCCACATTTTCCCCTCCACTCGCCACTTTTGCCTTTCGGCTTTCGGCTTCAATTGTAGCGGCTAAGTTGACCTTTTTGTTAATAGCGCTCACACACCGCGCTACACGCGAAAACCAATATGCTGGAATATATGGCGAGGGAGCATTGTCTGCGCAGGAATTTGATGTTGGCACAGCTGATTGATTTATTGTCTGCCCGGCTGACAATCCAGAGGAGTCCGCCAGTTGGCAGCTAAGCCAAACAGGGCCGCCAAATGCCAAAGGAGTCTCCGCGCCGCAGTGTGTGCAATATAAAAGCAACAAAAAAAGCAGGGAAAATTATCAACTGAAGCCAGCAGGAGTGTGCTTCTGTGTGAGTGAGTTTGTTTGCCTGTGTGCTTATGCGAGAGCGGTGCTTGTGTGCATGTGACGTCGCTATAATTAAGAGCGTTGGCGAAAGCCAAAGCGACAGCGCGTACTAGCCGCCATTTTCATTTTACGATAACTGCTTTCACCTACTTATTTGCCATTGCTGGAATGCATGCACCACTCGCTCCCTAATTTTCACACAATTCCAAACCGAAAACCATTTACCCACCCACCTGTCGGCCCACCGACAATGCGTCACCCCGTTTTATTATTCCCCCCGCGCAATTAAAAACTTTCTATTTGACTTTTTAAATTTTATTTTATATTGACTTTTTATGGCGTTAACAAATTATACTTTCAGACATTATTTTAACACAATAAATAATTTTAATAATTTTAATGGATACTCTATAAAACTGAAATTTCTTTAATTTTCTTTTCTTCCATTCGTTAATGCTACAATGATTTCTATATAAATATTTTTATTTTATCTTAAAAAAAGCCACCTTAACACAACATTTAAATTGGGATTCTCTTATTTTTCATTAAAGGTATGATACTCATTTAAATAATAAAAATAATTTCATAATTCAACTATTTTTTACCCAATCATTTTGAAACTAAATGCTTACTAAATGCTTATTCCCTATACTTTTTCACAAACTTTTTAATTTTTAAAGCTCTTGAAGTCAAGATTGCAATTTTGTAATTTCATTATTTGCTTGTCATGCTTTACAACATTTGCACATTTAGGTGCTCCATTAACTTCACTTTGAATACCCAAGCAGATGTCATCTCTTTTTGCTTGTGCATTATTTCACCGCTTTAATCAAATTCTTTTGATTCTTTTCTTTGAAATATTTGAAATTTAATTTCTTATTCCAAACGCTGTCACGTGTCGACATTATTCCTCATGTTTTTCCACCATGCGTCATACTTTCGTTTTTATTATTCCGCCCTTAAATGAAATACCAACTCCCCTCTGGAATTTTTTAAATTTAATTTCTTATTTACTTCGTTTTGCGTTTAAAAATTATCATTTAAATTGCAAAGCGTGTGCTCACTCATTACACATTCTCTCATGGCTGTTGCTATCTTGTCCCGAAAGCCTCAAGCATGCCAGAGTGTATGCCAAAAGTTCATAAAACTTTTAAGGGTCTCTCAACCAACAAAAATGAGACATAAATGCATAAATTTAATGAGTATCGAGCGGTTGCCCGTCGACGGTCAATGGGCGGAAATGAGAACGGTGGGCGTGGTCACTTTCTGACTTCAAGATGTGGATAAGAGTAATCCCAATTATCTTTGGACAATGACAGCTGCTAACTAGAGTTATTTACTTAAGTGCGAGTGGTCATTTTTCTTTGATAAGGTTGAAAGTTGAATGAGAACCGAGAGCAATTTGATGTATTAAAAGATTATCAGTCACTTAAGCTAATACTCCGGGACATAGCAAACAAAACCAAGTTTTAACGACTTTTAAATGCGCTAGACCTTATGGATTGTGTACTTTCTGTTTGTTAATACTTACAGGAATTTAATAATGTTCGTTTGTTACAGAAGCTTAACTTCGTCCAACTTATATGTCGCCTATTCGACCGCAATCAACACGTTTAAAGTAATGGTACAGCTTTGTAGCCGACATCAAATGCAGGTCCCATCAGGACATTTTCTTTTCAAAGTTGGCCATAAAACATTGGTCCTTTTTTACAGGCGCCTGATGGCAATTCTCTCAATTGGTTTTCCGAACCAGTGAAATCTGTAAAGGTCCTCGGTGCGCCGTATTTCTTGAGAATGGCAATAAAAGAAAATGTTCCAGCCGTTTGTAGCATGTTATTGGTTTACTTGCGTGAAAAGCGCAAAATCAAAGTAAACGTTGCCAATAAACGAGTTAAAAATGTTAACATCGCCAACAGGTTGTGGTGGGTAAAAAACTATTGTTGAGGTTGGCGAAAGCAAAAGCAAAAACATGGACCACACATGTTAACCACATAGTTTCCAGCCGTGCATGCTAATCGAATATCTGAAAACACAAAGGGGAAATTCCCACAAAACACACGCATGATCGGGGCAATCCACAAATTGAATTGTCTGCTGCAGATGAAACATGGATTGAATGTGGGATTATGTATAGCACATTAGTTATGCATCAGTGTGTGTGTGTTGGGGTTAGTTTTCGGTGTGTATTACTGGGTAAGCTTGGCCCACGTGGCGTATGCGCAATGCCAATTAAAATCAAAAGCCTGGCCCCAAAAAGTATGCAGCACATAATGTAATTGGGTTTCGTTTCTGTTTTCTTTCGCTTCGATCTGGTTAATGAATAACGAATGAGCCGTGTTCGCTTAATTGTGATTGAGTTGAGAACACAGCTCATTATAATTAATGTAAATGCTGCACAAGCACACACATACTCGTATAGTTTTTGCACAAATATATGCGCATATTTTGCCGCAAGCCATTAATGCCATTCTGATTTATAGCAGCCTCCTCTCGGCCAAAAACACTGGGCCATAATTAACCGCAAGCCGCACCGAGGCAAAACAAATACCGAAATCAAAACACAAAAAATCACTAACTAAAGGAGAAAGAGAACGAGCAAAGGTGGTGGCATAAAATGCGGCCTAAATGCTTTGGCAATTATGCCAAAATTGTTAACAAAATACGAAATGTATCAAACTAAGTAAAGGCGACAGCAGGAAGCCGCAGGAATTACAAAGGACCAAGGGATAGGCGACGACAGGTGGCAGGCCCCCATTTCTTGACTTCACTTTTCCCATATTTATGTAGTAGGGCCCAGGACCCGAAAAACATCCCCTTCGATTGCCGAAAAGCAACAGAGCTCAACAAAGCCCAAACCCCAAAGTCCAAATTGAAACCTCAATAGAAATACGAAAAACGGAAGCAGTAACAAAAACTCACTTAGGTTGCCATCCAAATCAACGGCTGTCAGACAAAAAGTCGCTTTTTATTGATTTTTATAAAGCCAAGCAAGCGGCAACACCAAAAAGCAATGAACAGCAAAGAATAATAACACAAGCCGCAGAGAAGTAGAAACAAAATACAAAAACAAAAAGCGAACGCAATGTGAATAATTCCCCAGTTGAACTGAACAGAGGCGAGCACGAAACGGAAAAACTGTTGGAATATTCCTCACTCCCCTCGCCATCGAACCCTGCCTACCCGCCCCGCCCCCACAACCGTCGGGATCACCCGACTATATAATATACCATACTATCGCAACGTTCATCAAATGCGATTCGATTCGATGACGATTCAAACAGGAGACACCGGAGAGACGGACGCACACGGGGCCCCATAAAAATGTGTTATAAAAATATACACGCATAAATTCCTCCGCCCCCTTCGCAAGGACATAAATATACAAATATATATATGAAAGCCTGGCTGGGGAAAAATTTAATGCAAATGTCATTGACAAAGTCAATTAGCAGGAAAGCCAACGAAACGAGCGGAAATGCTGCAGCTGCACAATTGAGAATTCAAAAATTGATCGAGGGCAAAAGCTATTTAAAACAAACACGAAAAGGGAGTGCGGGATAAAGAGCAAGACTGATTTTAAGTTTAGTTAGATTATTTTTAACAAAAAGCGAAAACAACTATTTTGTGGGGGGAAAACACGAAACTGCAACAACGAATTGGCCAAGCGGAAACCGTAGTAAAGAGGAAAACCACCCAAAGGGAAAACCGAGGAAAAGCGGCAACAAAGCAGCTGAGACAACAAAAGCAACGACATCCAACAAAAGCAACCGGATTCATACGAAAGCATGTTTGTGTTCATAGTTGTGCTGTTTGTTAACGCTTGCCTAGCGGGTAAGTACCAGATCCCCAGTTCCAGAATTTAGGGTCCTTTAAGTCCTACGAAGAAGTCGTAATAATTTGGGGCCACAATGTAATGTCCTGTGCTACCTGAGCAGCCCAAAACTGTTCGTTACTCGAGTTCTCATCAATAGTTTTCATTTTTTTTTATGGTGAGCTACCCACACTTTAAAAATTATGTCGAGTGTCGGAAAGTTAGACAACAGAATTTATCGGTAGTCTGTTTCCAATTTGAGTTTATTTTTAGATTTGTCTACCGAAATATAAATAGGTTTGTTTCACATTTATTGCCTCTGGTACAGAGTAAAGAGCGATTTAGGTCACACGAACACAGATGGCTAACTAATAAACTGTTTAAATATCAAACTTCAAGATGTTCTCACAAATATGGACTCCTTATAGAATAGTATTTAACTTAAGGTCTTTTGCAACATAATTTATCGATTCTAAACTTTAATTTATTTTCATTGCCCAAATAGCTTGGCCAGAAATAAATTTCGTCACTATATCACCAAATGGTAAATAAGAATTCAGGCCAAACGTCAAGCCAAATGAGAGCATTAATCGACATAATGTTTGCCACACATCCATGTGAAATACCACTTGCTAGTCATTTAGGTAATTTCAGTTGATTTCATTTCGAATAAGTTAGAGTGTTCATTCAAGGTAAAGCCATCATATATTGGCATATGTCCTTAAACCTAACTTAATGGAATTTCTTTTAATGTTTATTAATTTAATTTATTTAAATCATAATGTAAGCATATATTTCTAATCGAAAATTACTAGAAGGTCACCAGAATATATACAACATAATTTATAAAGTTGTAACAAATAAAAAAAGCTGCTCCATCTGGTCAATTGATAACAGATTGACAGTTAAATCAGTGGTAATCTTCTTTGAGAGCCGAGAAAAATTGAAGAAAATCCGCAAAGCTCCTAATTTTATGACACGACTTAAGGGCTGACGTCTTTACGACACGGCTCAAACGAAATCCCACTAATCCCCCAGACGAATAAACTTGGCTAGTGCCAGTGAATTACTATGTATAATATACACTCTAAGCATTTACAAGGATAATGGCATAATAACAAGCAATTATTGTTATAATAGGCACCATTCCGGCTACGCCGGAGAACATAACCGTTACGTTTCTGACGCCCACGGCGGTCCGAGTGTCGTGGCAGACGCAAATCGATCTGAAGGCACATCCCATCGAGAAGTACATCGTGACGTACAAGCCGACAGATGACAGGTAGGTACCACTAACAAAGCTAAAACTCAATCCGCCGGGCCACTTGACTGTCTAAATGACGGTAAAGCACACTTACTTACCATTCAACTGACGGGCTTAAAAGGGGAATTTTGAGGTTGGGGGGTTCTTAGTGCACAGGAAAAAAATATGTATATGAAATGATATTGATAAATGATTGATACAAGAAATTTGCATTCTAAAATAGGTAAGTTAATAAAAATTTAAAGTGTAATGTGTGTATATTTCTATACCAGTCATAAAATTAAATACATTTTTGTTTTATTAAACTTGAACGAATACAAAGTTCCGAATAAATAATATTATTTTTAGAACCTTCTGCCTTATCACCTCCAAATAATGAGGAAATACTAAAAAAATCCACAGAAAAATGTAATTATCGCCATGTCAGATAAAGATATAGTAGTAAAAAATTAACGGAAAAGTGTAATCATCAGCGATAACATTTTTCAATTTCCTCCCCTTCAAAGAAATTGCAATTGCATTTATGCAGAGTACAAGGGAACAAAAAAAACTCTGCCTGCAATGACGGCCCATGGAGTGGGTGGGGGGTCAAAAGCACGGGCAAGGGAGGCGTCAATGGGCCGAGGGGCGTGGCAGCGGTCAGTCAAGAACACTGTCTGCGCGCCGAATTGTGTGTGTGTGTGCGTTCGTTTGAGGCTTGAAGCTTGTGGCTTTGTGCGAGTGTGTTTGCTTGGCCATGAGCTAAATAACGGACCAAGTTAAAGTAAACCAAGGGAGGGGGCGGGAAAACCCCACGAAGAAACTTGAGGCCAAATTGACCGCGAGTGCAGGCCAAAAGAAAAACAAAAGCCGCGTGTACTCGTAGTCAAGTTATTTAAAACAAAAGCGAAAATGCGAGTTTTGTACACAAAGCATGGCCAACTTCTCAGGAATTACAGCCCAATTTCCCCAACTAGAACCACCAGCTGCCAAATAAGAAATTCAAATTATGCTGAGACTCAAAGCTTCTTCACATTTTCTTCAGAACAAAACTCGTATTTAAATAATTCCAAACTAAAAGAGATTAAGTGCTTGGATATTTGGAAATTGGCCATCCGTTTTCTTTATTCTTTTTGACATAAAAATTAAATTATAGTTTACCAACCCAACTCACATGCAAAGCAAAGCATTTGTTTTTTTCATAAAGTATTATTCTTTCCTTTTAAACTAAAGTTTTAGATAATTTTTTTTTTTCTTTAGGAATATATTTAAAATTTGTATTATTCACAGAATTATAAAAACAATTTGGTAGATACAGTAATAAATTGGTGTTTGCTGAAAATGGCGATGTAAAAAAAGCATTATAAGAGAGGGGATTAAGAGTTATTTTACTAACAATGTATAAGTTATTAAAAACAAGAGAGAACGCTATAGTCGGGTTGGTGTCCCGACTATCTAATACCCGTCACTCAGCTAAAGGAAGTGCGAACGCGGGTTGGTGTCCCGACTAATAATCGTAACTCAGCTAAAGGGAGTGCGAGGGAGATAGATATATGTTGACAATTTATAAATCGTATAACTTTTTAATGAATGGTCCGATTTGAAAAATGTCTTCTACATTTCGATAGGTATAAATATACACAACAAAATTGCATTTATACTTCTCGGAAATCTTTAAAGATGTGGGCGCAGGACCCATTTTAAAATCGTTAGTGGGCGATTGTGGGCTGAAATAAACTTGCGCTGCGTAGGAAGCCAAAGAATATGTGTGGGAAATCTCAACCTTCTAGCTTTTGTAGTTTCTGAGATCTCAGCGTTCATACAGACGGACAGACGGACAGACGGACAGACGGACAGACGGACAGACGGACATGGCTAGATCGACTCGGCTAGTGACCCTGATCAAGAATATATATACTTTATGGGGTCGGAAACGCTTCCTTCTAGCTGTTACATACTTTTGCACGAATCTAGTATACCCTTTTACTCTACGAGTAACGGGTATAAAAAGTTAAAACAGTGGATTAAAGTGCAACATCGTATGGAATATGCCAGTTAGCATAAGGTGGCTCGGAATTTAAATTTCTCTGAACGTTATTGCCACTCAATTAGGTTAGATTTTCCAAGAACTCGAGTTGGCAAAAAGTTCGAGTTGGCCAAGTTTGCCTGTATATAAGCGTTGGCATTGCAGCCATATTCATGAACAGTTCGTGTGCTCATGTGCTCATGTGCACACATATGTCAGGGACTTTGCGACCGTGCCGGTTTCAGTTAACTCTCTTGGCAATACTCTTGATGATTTACCGAAATAATGCAGCCCAGCTGCAGCTGTCTTGACTGCTGAATTTACCATCTTAGCATTCCCATTTGCATTGCCACCTCCACACGTCGCATTGCCGCTGATTGCTATTTCTCACCACCCGTGTTTGCTGCGTGGCAACCGGAAGAGAAGCAAGTATCCCCACACACTGGAAAACAAATTTTAAAACAAATAGCTTACCTTTATTAATTCCTATTTATAAATTTAAATTATTGTTTTTTCATGGCATGTCAATTAAGGTCTAATTATTAGTCTAAACTATTCCATTTAGAATTTCAGAAATTGAACTTTTCGAAATATTCTATTATTTTCTATTCTTTTTTTCTATTATTATACCCGTTACTCGTAGAGTAAAAGGGTATACTAGATTCGTGCATAGTATGTAACAGCTAGAGGAAGCGTTTCCGACCCATAAAGTATATATATTTTTGGGTATTGATGTTCCGAAATAATGTCAGCCCAGCTGTCAGTCTGTCGTCTGACTGCAATTTACCATCTTAGCATTCCCATTTGCATTGCCACCTCCACACGTCGCATTGCCGCTGATTGCTATTTCTCACCACCCGTGTTTGCTGCGTGGCAACCGGAAGAGAAGCAAATATCCACACACACTGGAAACAAATTTGAACACAAATAGGTTGGCTTTAGTATTTCTATTTCATAATTTTAAGTGTAATTTTTTTTACATAATCTTTATTTCTCAGGTCTAATACTTATTCTAACGGACTTTTCTATTTAGAATTTTAGAAATAAAACTTTTCAAAAAGTACATATTTATTCCGTCGCCTCTTTTTATGTTTTTGTTTATTATTTTGTTCTTAATTTTATTTTAAACTATTATATTTAGAATTTTAGAAATACAACATTTCAAAACTTTATATTTTTAGTATTTTTTTTTTAATATTTAACGAGACGAATCAGATATTTCTGTTAGCAAAAGTTTTTTACATTTCCCTTTCCTAAAAATAAACTTTTTAAAAGCCGGTTCGGCACTTCTCTGAATTATTATAATAATTAAAGGTAAAATAAAATATCAAATATTATCAAAGAATACTTGGAAAGTTCTTGTTGCTAAGAATTTAAAAATAATTATTCAACTTTTAATTAGGTATAACAAACTTGTTTCTTTGTTGTGCCTGGAAAATGTGATAGTTTTGGTTTTTCAATTTAAAACTTTCCAATGTGTTTAGATATTCTTTTGTTTAATTAAAAGTTTTTAGTTTTGAAAGTATACCTTTTTTTTGTGCAAATTGAAAATGCATGTTTCAGCCGTGCGCCCAGATGGGAATGAGATGGACTGCATGGCTTGCATATTTCGCCAACAAACTAAGCACTTCCGCTCCGTGTTGGCCAAGTCAAGTCCAAGTGGCAGCCTGGCTTGGCCTGGGTATTTTAGCCCGTTCGCGCTGCCATGGAATGCCGTCCGTGTAATAAGTTAAGTGCTCGACTTTTGTGCTTTTCTGCCTTTTGACTGCAGTCCGCTGCTGCCGACTGTTGGCCAAGGTGTTTTTTTCCTCTTTTTCTTTCAATTTAATGGCCCGTGTTGCGTGAGTGTGTGTGTGTTGCCCCTTTTCTGTTGGCTTTTGGCTGCATGAGCGTGTTTTGTCTTTTACTGCCCGCCATTCCAATGCTAAGCCCGCTCTTGTCCCGTTCTTCTATAAAGTTCACGCCTATGTCAAAAATTTTATTACAAAACTTGGACCCTTGCCTGTGGTGTGTGTGTGTGTTTTCTTTTTTCGGTAGTTGCTTCGTTCGCTTGGTAATTATTTATTAGTCAGTTTGTTTTTAATTTTTGTGTTACTTTCCTATCGATTTTTGTTGTATTACCTACTTCCGACTGCCAGTCATTATGGTGGGCGGTCGGCGGTTGGCGGTGGTTTCCCTGGGCTCTATCTTCCTGCCGTTTTTCGAGTAAATTGTGCCCGTGAATAATGTATGATTTGTACATAGACACGTTGACGGTGAGTCGGCTCGGGCTTTGGCTTTGGCATTAGCTTGGGCTTCGCCTTGGGCTCGAGCTCCCCAAGTGGAATAGACTTTTGTCCTAGACGTTTCAGACAGGCACACAGATATGTCCGTACAGACATCGGCATACACATGGCCATGCACTGGGAGAATTTCTGAGGATTATTAGGCCTATTTTGATTTATTGTTTTTTTACTTATATTTTTTTTTTAAATAAATGGACTGTGGTCATTTAAGAATCTTCTTATCTTTTTTTAAAAATAAGTACAGATTTCAAAACAAAAATGTATTAAATATTTTTTATAGAATAACATGAAATTTTAACGAAACGGTTTTGAAAAGAAAAAATATCTTATTCTATTTTAATTAACTAATTAATATTGTATTTAATGAACAAATTTAAAATATTGATGTTCTAATGATTTTTGCAAAAATAAATAGAATAGAAAGACAAAAAAATTCAGTTTTTAACTTGCATGAAAAGTGAATTATTTTGACTTCTAAAGAGAACCTACATTCCAAACAAACAGAGAAAAACTATAAACGAACATTTGTTTTCATTTCACTCAACATTTTTTCCCCATGTACCATGCATGCTCCAAATTGCTAAGTGGATTTATGAAATTCTTGACGAACAATGAGTGGCTGTTGTGGGGAGGGGGTGGAGTTCAATACGTCCAAGCATGTCAAGCACCATCAATAACAATAATAATTAATAACAATTACTGTCCCAGTGGCAAGAGGCGTAAAAAGGGGCGGTACCGGTAGAACATGTGCTCGTTGCGAGGAGGACGATAAGGACGGAGTAGATGGAGAATCCCGATCAATAGGGGTTGCCTGTTCTAGATTTTATTCATTATTCTTATCTACGTTTTTAGAGCCAATTTGACATTATTAAAATTGAAATGTCAAGGCCCCACGAAAATGTATATATAGCTGTAGTTGCTGTGTAATGGCTAAGCGGATGAGATTTGTGAGTGCCTTCAGCTGTGCTTTGTCGTTTTCTGCGATGACGACATAAATTTTCCAGTATAAGCCATAAAAGTGCACAGGCCGCAGTAACAGGAAATGGAAATTGAAATGGAACCTAGAGCATAACCTGATTTGTATATGGCATATAGGCAAATAAGCAGACTTTGTGCTATTGCCAAGGAATCCGAGTGTTTGCGTTCGATTTTTCCTTGGAAGTTATCTATCCCGCCCCTGAAGTCCTTCATTGAACATTGATGCCCCCGTCCAACGGGGCGTATGCGTATTTTTAATTGAATTTTTAAGTTAATGCAAATGCAGGACGATTGTCACGAAACGCTGCGGTTGCCTATTTCTACAAAAATAAAATAAAAATTCCTAGTTACATCCGGGAGAACACATGTTAGCCAAAAAGTAGAGCAAAGTCGTTTCTGCAAAAGCAGCCCATGAAAGTCATAAGTTATTAAATAACATCAGAAGCGCCTCGGTTGACTGTCGTGCGAGTACACATTTGTATATTTTGTTTGACATATTGTGTGCATACTGCGAAGTTTGAGTAACGAATGCGAAAGTTGTTCTGCCGGCCTGTAAGCTAATTGTTTATTTATCAAACCGGAACGAACCGGATAACGCGCACAAAGGGGCGGCATTAAAAAAAAAAGAGTAAAAGCCGACCGAATTGCATATCCAGCCATATTTCTGAATACCAAATGACCGAGAGTCCACAATCAGGCCGTAAAGGGAGAAGCCGAGAAGCCGGCGAGAAAATTAGAAACTTCCTTCCTTGCTTCGCTTGCATTTCTTATTGCCAGCCGAAAGGGCAAGGGATCCACCCAGAAAAATACCCAGAAAATTACCCAGAAAACTACCAGTGCCATGGCGTGAGTTTAAATTGTGTATAATAAGCGGCTTCCTTGGTGTATTAAATGCCAAAAAGTCAGATAAGCGGGACGAGAACCGGGGATTAAATTTGATTTTCCCCAGGCGCCAACACATGATGATGAAAACTTTAACGGCGGAAACTTTAGATATCGCCTGGCACTGTCACATATGGCGGATAGGATCGGATCGCCGGCGGATGGCGGATGGAGGTTGGCGAATGGCAGATGTTTGCCCAAGTCGGCCCAATTCCAGTTGCCCTACGGCCACGGGTCTATTGGCTGCATGCAAATGGATGTGACACATGTGGCTAATCAATTATTTAGCCGCCGGCGGGAGCGAAATGAGAAGAGTTTTTGCCGACCAGCCAGATGTAAATTCACAATGAGCCGTAAAAGCCCGCTTATGTCCTTAATTCGCATCAATTGGCAGGCCTTTTCGTATCACTTATACCTACAGCTCAGAAGCTCTTAAGAGAGGTCAATACTTGAATTTTTATTAAAAATATTTCTCTGAATTTTTTCTCCAAGGACAGTAGGCAGAAAATGAGTAATTACCTGCTGGGGTTTCCAATAGTTTCCAAGTTTATTTCACATATTTCTAAGGAGCTGCCTTATTAGCACGGCTCAAACAGCCTAATAACCTTTATTATTATTATTATTATTATAAAGTGTTCGACAATAATGTAAAATTTACAGACGAACTTAAACTTAGCTATAGCTACGGGGCCTTAAGCTATAATAACCTTTAATAATATGTTGTGCTCTATACAGAAGAGTCATTTATAAATATATAAAAATTGATTAGATCAACAACTGTAAACTTGTATCCAAAATAAAGAGGTAAAACACTGTACAAAAAATGTAACCGATTTAAAGTACTTAAGAAAAAATTAAAAATAAATGGATTATTTCTTATGTGAATTAAAAAAATTGTAAGTACAGGAAAACTATGAAAACTCAAATCGTCTCCGTGCCATGAAAAATACCTGAGAATTTGTTACATGTTAAATATTTTTTTGAAATGCATTCCTTTCTTATAAAGAGCATTGTTAAATCGACCAAACCGACATTGTTTACCTGTGTTTTGTTTTTTCAACATTTACGTTAGCTTGTTCGGCGTTGTTTTTGCTTCGTCTGCTGGCGAAATGCGGGACACTTCTGTTTTCTGTTTGGACATCGGTTCCACTGGGGGCCATTGGGTGGTTCTGCGGGGGGTGTGTGCTTGTTACATGTATGAATAATGAATCATTTGTCAGGCGCTTGTAGTGTTGCTACAGCCGCAGTAATAGAAGCCAGTGCACAAAGGCCAGAAGTCTGGGCCACTATTCTCGGCCCCGGTTCCACGCACTCGGCACGGGATTTCCAACAGGATCTTGGGTGGGCGGTGGGTAATGTGAGCTCAATTGGCAAATCTAGGACATGTTTGGTAACTGCGCTGCGAGAAAGTGACAAAGTGAAATATTGGCCACTGCTGTAATTACCAACACGGACCGGCCTCATATTTCACGACTCGAATGTTGTAGTTTGTTCAATTAGCACACACAGATACAGACACACACACATGCGATTGCACAAACTACCCCAACCACCTCCCAACTCCCCCTTAGCTGCCGTTCGAGAGTGGTAATTGAATTAATTTAAGTTACAGGGTTGTACAGGACGTCGCCGGCAGCAGCGAGGCCATTGTCCTGGATCGCCTGCTGCCCAGCACACAGTACTCGCTCGTTGTGACGGCCATCTGGCAGGGCAAGAAGTACCGCAGCCGCGGTCAGATCAAATTCAAGACGCTGGGTAGGTATCGGGCGCCCCGTGGATTCGGTTCTTTATAATCATTTGATTTCCATACCCAAAGATCTGCCCAAAAACACATCACAGCAGGACTTTCCGCCGGGTATCTACGGCAATGGGAGCAATGGCGCTCGCAACGGAAGCACAAATGCCAGCATCTTCGGTGACGATGTGACCTCCACGGCCACAAACACCCTGACGCATGGCACGACCAGGGAACTGCCCACTGTAAGTCTTATCGATACTCTCATATCAAATGCTAATTAATTGAATGAATTGATTTTTCATCATTGGCTTTCAAAGCCGTATAAGAGAAGGAAAAACACTTGTAAAAAATAGTTCATGATTTTTAAAGTTGAAGAGAATAACAAAATTATACTCAATTGAAGTATTTTGTGAATTGTGAATTTTGTGAACATGTTCTTCGTGTTTTTCTGGCAAATCATTCATAGTTTCTATAGTAATATCTAAAATGCATCATTGGCGAATTCTAATTTAAGTTCCAGTGTATTAAATGATTTTTTAATTAGTGTATCTACAGTCAGAAAACCATTTTTAAACCGTTTCCTTTATTTAAACCAAGATCTATTCAATCTGAATCTAAAGTACCGACTGTTTTGTTCATTACTATTTCTCCACGATTTTTAATTTTATGGCCTCTTAGTATAATCTATAAAATCGTTTAATCTCAAAAAACCAATTAGAGGTATAAAATCTTCATTTCAAGAACGTTTTTTCTCGAATAAGTAAGAAAAGAGAAATTTTTTCGTTTTTAATTTCTCTGAGTGAAGAATGTAGAAAAAATTAGATTGATTTATGATTTTGAAGATGTCATTTAAATAGTAAATTCTATAATTGCCTCACTAAGAAAATTAAAAATAAAAATTTGTTTAATTTATTAATTATTTTCCTCATTCAGATTCGCGGCGTGGAGATCGGGATTGTCCTGATCGTGCTGATGGTTTGGGCGGGAGCCATCGCACTGTTCTTTAACCGGTGGGGCAAGATCCGGATGCTGCTGCCCTACCAGCCGGACTACAAGCACGAGCAGCTGAAGGTGCCGGGCACGGGCGTCTGCAGTGCCAGCGGCTGCAATGGCCAGCACTCGCACCAGGTGAGTTCCGCCGGGGGTAGCCCAATCCGAATCCCGATCGGGGAGGTGGGGATGATGGTTGTGCGGGTTTCTAGGATTACTCGGAGCGCTGAGCGTTATTGGATATTCGCGAAGGAACTTATCTCTGTTTCGTTTCTGTTATGCTTCATTTTTAGAACCTACACCCCGATTTCTTTGTCAAGGTATTCAAAAATAACAAATTCTTCCAACTACTTATATACGAAACAAACAAAAATATCTTTGCATTTTATTCGCTTATTATCTATGCATCAATTCAAGTAAATAATCGACTCTTATTGAACAAAGTACACTCACAATTTCCTTTTTAATCCGTGCACAACCCCGCCCAACCCCTTCAGTATAGACTGAATTTACCGAGAATGACTCTGTTCTAGAAGTTTATTGAAAATGCTTTTCTATCAATTAAGTTCTTATTTTCGTTGGTCCGTTTGAGAAATACTAAATGGTGGACGCAGATTTAAGTTTTCTGGCCTGAAGAATGTGTTCTTAGTGCATTTTTCCTGTAGAAATCAGACCTTTTCGACTCTTACTTCTTATGATTTGCTTACCAAGATGGCACGTGCTAGTTTTGCATTCTTTTCAGCTTTCTTTTCCGTAGGCTTATGGCACTAGTTTTGGATCATACTCTCTGGACCTTTCATATGGCTTATCCCAAGGCCAAAGCCTTTCTAAAGAGTATGAACTCTTCGGCCCGCCGAAGTCAACTAGCGATTCCACCTAGATTCATTGAGCTCAGGATGCGAAATGCATATGAGAGCACTTCTAATTTATAACTCGTAATCTCCACATTCCATAGATATACAGTCGAACTCTTCTAAAACATAAATGTACAAAATCATTTTGAGATATTGAAAATCTTAAGATTTCCCTTCTGGTTTTTTGGAGTTCCGGAAATATTTATTTAAACAATTCCATTTTATATAATTTAAATTTAGTGGCTAGAGCAGTTCGCCTGTATTTTTAATGCATTTAGCGGTTTTGGTTTTGAGCTTTGCTGTTCAGGTGGGTGCTTTTCCGTGATCTCACTGACGAAACGTTCCCTACTTTCACTTCGCTCCCGCCTGCTGATCTTGTTCCTGCTACTGCTCCTGCTCCTGATCCTGCTGCCGCTTCCGATCCTTGATTTTAGTGCTTGCCGCGGTGCGAGGGCTGCGGTCTCTTCGACCGCTGCTTTCAGTATCCCCGCAGGGAGCTGGAGCGCGACTGCGGCTGCCAGTTTGCCCTGCTGCACAAGGCGGACGTGGAGAGCTAGCAACCAGCGCATCGCGAAGCCACCTCGGCGGCCGTGAGTGCGGCGGCGTCCAGCCACGGACATGGTCACAGTCATGGCACACCGGTGAACACCTATGTGCGCGGCCCCAGCGTCGACAATCAGTCGATTGTGGGCGCCAATGTGCTGGAGAATGTGGACAGCCAGGAGCGTGTCAGCGTCGGGGACGAGAACAACATCGAGGTCGAGGGGGACGACCTTGTCCCGGACAAGGATCAGGAGGACCAGCAGCTGCTGCAGCGGGAGAAAGAGCCCGTCGCAGCCCAGCGCATCCTGCCGCTGCAGGCGGCGGGTGCCATGAAGCAGCGCAAGTTCGCCCAGCAGCGCGGCATCCTCAAGAACTCCCAGGAGCGCACCTTCGTCGAGGAGGACGAGGTGCTGGAGGCCAAGAAGCAGCTCATTTTGCGTCGTCGCCGCCTCTTCAGCCACTATAGGCAGTACGACCAGTGGCGCCGGCGGCAGTTTAGCTACGATCCCAGCTACTTTCGCCCGCCTCCGTTGCCGCCTCGAGCGCTGGCATGCGCTGATCACCAACTGGGCGGAGGAGGAGGAGGCGCCACCATGGATGCGGCATCGGCCAGTGCCGGGCGAAGGAGGCGCCAGTACCGCAGGCAGTACTCCTGCGCGGACCGAGAGCGATCGCGGGAGGGATCGCACGACAGCCGAGGCTCGTCGACGATGCAGCTCCAGCTGCAGAAGTACCACAGCATGGTGGCCAGCGACACCATCCACACCGAGTCGTCGGTGCTCAATCACAGCAACTACAGCGAGCCGGCCAGCGTAAGTCAGCCAGCTAGTGTTGGGCGGAACGATGATGCAACAGAGTGGTTCACTTTGGCGAGGGAACACAGGATATGCTCATTTTATTCATTTTTCATTTGACTTTGAGTTATTATTTAAGGTGTTTTGATATAGGATACAACGTTTTTGTAGTGTCCGTTAAGTTGGATCAACTATATCACTCATACGCAGTGTTGACCCCCTACGAGAAAAATGTACTTTTGACTTACTTATTTTTGGCTTACATGTCGGTTGAGTAATTTTTTTATATTTTTCTTTTGTCAGCTATTTAAAAGAAAGTTATTTGTATAAAGAGCTTAAATATTTTATACGTTACACATGCCTTGGTAATTAAAAAAAAGTGTTTAAACAATAAAATGCATTTCTTAAATCGAAAGCTTTCGTTTGCATGCAATAGTTGAATAATGATTAGATAAAACGAAACTAATTTAAGCAAACAAAAGTTCATACAAACGTAGTTATTTTTTTTGCCATTTAACTTATTTACCATTGGCTTCCATTATTTCAATTTGTTTATCCTTCTTAAATAAACTGTAAATCATATGGTTGTTTATTTTGCCATTTAACTTATTTACCATTGGATTCACTTTGTTTATGCTTCTTATATAAATTTGTATTCATATTGTTTATTTTTTCTGACAGTAATTAAGCTTATTTATTATTGCTTTTATGTTTAATTCCTCAGTTAAATCATTCGTAGGCTTACTTTAAAAATATTTTATAATGAGTTTAAGCCGATTAAATTCCCTTGCCAAAGTTTGAGCCACCGCCCTGGTCCACTGAAGTGGGCAGGGTGTGCCCAACACTGGTTCCCAGCACAGGCAGCTTGTGGAGCACGTGCACATGGTTTTGCTTGGAGTTCGAGTTCGGGTTCCACTTCAGATTGCAGACCGGAGCACCAAATCGCACCAATCACCCATCAATCTTAATCACCTTGTACAGAACTTGCAGCCTTCAGTACCTTCACTGGATGGAAATGGTCCGCACTCGCTCACTTCGCTCACTTCTCTCACAGCAAAACCCACAAATCGCAATTCGCAACCAACCGCTTGAGTCCAGGCTTCGTGTGTTTGTCCTTTAGTAGTTCTAGTAGCCAGGTTCTAGTGGACTGTCCCTCGCTTCTCGCTTGCTCCTGTGTTCTTGTTGCTCCAGTTTTCTTGTTGCCGTGTGGCCGGGGAGGTCCTTTTTATGCGGGCTTATGTGTTGTGCGTGTGAATCCCCTCGGAAGCGTCCGCTCTACCGTCTCCTCTCTATCTCTTAATATTTTATCTTACTCTTGCCTCTCTTACTTAAACTGCTCCTTTTGCGGAACGCAGTTCGACAGCAGTGACTGTGCCCACCCACCGTTGCACTGCAATAGTCGCGTAAGCAACTGGCCGGCGGATGCGGCAAAAGCCAGCCGAGATCCTCACTAACCCACCTACCATTGCAGCACATCCACATGCTGGCCGAGGAGCACTCCACCTCCATTTCGGAGCGCTGTACGCGCATGGTCCAGTATTTCAATTTGTTTATCCTTCTTAAATAAACTGTAAATCATATGGTGGTTTTTTGCCTTTGGCTTCGACTCCATCGAGTTCCCATTGGCGCCACGGTTTGCTTAGCTTCTTATAGCCAGGTAGGCCAAGATTGCCGTGAACTTTACGGACAACGGACGAAGGGTGAGTTGGGATTACTTACAGGGATTAATATTTAAATCTAGTTAAATAATTCTGCCTTAAAAAATGATGCCTTTTATAACTGAGTTAACCAATTTTCTATTTTCACGTCAAATTTGCCATAAATCCACGGCAGGTCACCATAAAAAAATCTTTTTGGGATACATTTTTCTTATATTTAGGGTGATTTATTTGGATTTGCATTGTTTTGACGTTTTCTTAATCCAGCGGCGAATTGCACCAATCACCCATCAATTCTTAATCACCTTGTACAGAACTTGCAGCCTTCAGTACCTTCACTGGATGGAAATGGTCCGCACTCGCTCACTTCGCTCACTTCTCTCACAGCAAAACCCACAAATCGCAATTCGCAATTCGCAACCAACCGCTTGAGTCCCGGCTTCGTGTGTTTGTCCTTTAGTAGTTCTAGTAGCCAGGTTCTAGTGGACTGTCCCTCGCTTCTCGCTTGCTCCTGTGTTCTTGTTGCTCCAGTTTTCTTGTTGCCGTGTGGCGGGGGAGGTCCTTTTTATGCGGGCTTTTGTGTTGTGCGTGTGAATCCCCTCGGAAGCGTCCGCTCTACCGTCTCCTCTCTATCTCTTTCTATCTCTCTTCCCTCTCTCTCTTGCTCTGCTCCTTTTGCGGAACGCAGTTCGACAGCAGTGACTGTGCCCACCCACCGTTGCACTGCAATTTGGTCGCGTAAAGCAACTTCGGTGGGCGGACAGGTGCGGGGAAACAGCCGAGAGCCTCACGGGAACCCAGGAACCATTGCAGCACGTCCACATGCTGGCGGAGGGTACTCCACCTCCATTTCGGAGCGCTGTACGCGCAGCAGGATCAACTCGGCCATCTTTGTGTCCTCGGAGGGGCGCGGCTTCGACTCCATCGAGTTCCTGCGCCGCCACGGCTCGCAGAGCGTCCTCTGCCGGAAGGCCAAGAGTGCCGAGAACATCACGGACAACGGACGAAGGGTGAGTTGGGAACTACAGGGATTAATATTTAAATTTTAAAAAATCGCCCTAAAAAAATGGTTGCCTTTAAACTGAGAAAAATTTTCTATCTTCACGTCAAATTTGCCATAAATCCACGGCAGGTCACCATAAAAAAGTTTTTTATGAATAAGGATAAAATTTTGGTTTCTGTTTTTTTATAACTTTAGGGTGATTTATTTGGATTGCATCGTTTTGACCTAAATTATAAATTTTTTCTAAATACAAGAGCGACTCGCCAGCGGATCATTTTTACGGGCGATTTTCTAAATCCTCGGGTGAAAAGTCAGTTTTTTAGGGCGATTTAGGGTAAAAATTTCTATGAGTGTAATAAATTTAATCCATAACCCATTTTATAGAAGAGCCTGCGACCCTGGCGCACCGACGACGACTCCTGTAAGCAGCAGCACCTCTCGCAGGACAGCAACGACATCGAGCTGAAGGAGTGCGGCGGCGCTGGAGGAGAACTGCTCCGGCTGCCGGTCATTCACGATGGCAGGCAGTCGCCGACGGCCGTGACCAGTCTGCTGGCCCGTTCGGCGGCCATAACCACGGCCAATATGATTGTGGGCAGCATTTCGCTGGAGGCACCACCACCATACATGCAGGACGACGAGGGCGATACGTTGTCCACGGCGGCACTCATCCACAGCGATGCGGCGGCCGTGGTCCACGAATCCCAGGACTCGGCGGAGACGGTGGAGGAGCTGGTCCATGTGCCGCTCCTGGCCAGCGCCACGGCCACGGCCAGCGTGTCGGCCTCCTCCTCGCCGAGCATCGCCATCGAGGCCAAGCCGCGCGTCCTGGTGCACCAGCGATCCTCGACCGCCTCCTCGTCGCCGCACAGCAGCCCCAAGAACCTGGGCGGCCTGGGACTCAAGATCGTCAAGCCCAAGATCAGTGCCGTGCCAATGGTTTCCGTTTCGGGTCCCTCGCCGCCCATCGAGAAGCCACCGCTGGCCGAGTGCTTGTAACAAATGGCAGCCGAAACATTTATCTAAGCTCGCGCTCAAGGCAACTGGACCCTGGATCCTGAAAGGCCCCTTAAAAATCCAAAAAAAAAAAAATCCAAATCCTACTTAAATATTCGAAGACGAGATACTCGAGATGGAGAAAGTATGCCAGCTGCTCAAATAAGTGTTTCGGTGAGAGGTTTTTAGAAGGCAAAATTGCAAGGACGAGACGTATGTACGGTAGTAATAGGATAGAAACAAAAAGATATTGTACCAGTGGTCATCACCAGGCAAAGAAAGCTTTGTATATTCAACAACGACTGAAGTATACACATATGTACATACATTATAAACGAAAACAATGGTAACCTGTATAACTTTTTAAGTCGATTATTGTGTATGTGTGTATACATACCTATTAACTGATAAATCAGCTTTAACAACAAACAAGTAAACTATCAGGCTTTAATATTACGACGATGATGAATTTCTGGTTTAACCTAGTCCCTAGACTCACCTAGCTGTTGAAACGAATTAATCAATTCTCTTTAATTGTTCTCCTATACATATAGCCAAAGAAAAAAAAAAACAACAAACCACTTGGGCACCACAACTGTTATACACGCGATCTATATAGGTTTACTATAAATATATATATTTATACACTCAGTAAAATTACGTATGTTCGATTTAGAGCCCTGCAGAATCAACAGGGTTGGAATCCTTAATCATCAGAATGTTTCATTATATCCTATATAGTCGTTTATTAGCTCACAATATATAAATCATCCTAATAATCACTGTGATTCAAGCAGGGCTCTACTTCGTACCCTTTAAGGTATTCGGACACATGCTATACACTTAGCTTTTAATCGTAAGATGATGAAATCACATAGTCCAAATGTTACATGCTAACATATCAGATACTCTACTGTACCCACGACCAAAGCGAAACGTTTGAAACTGTAAACTAGTCCATAATTAGCTGTAAGCAACCTATTACCAAACTATTAAATAGATGTAGAGTTTTTTGTCAAGTAAGTGCCCTGGATGACTTCAAAGTGTTTTTAAAACCAGATTCTTACATGTATTTCGTGTAGATGTTTCTGTAGCTCGAAAATTACCCCATACAAAAGAGAACATATTGATGGATTTATAGAAGTTTATATAGGAACGTTGCTATAGGAATCTTCAGCCAGCACCAAAACCCATTTGCTCCCGCTCACTGATTTAGGTAGTCTCTATACATTTTAGTTATGGTACTCCAATTTTTATCTGTCCACCTACGCGTTAGACACTTGAAATCTATCCTATACACTTCGTTTGAGTAATGAAATACAACAAATGTAAATACACATTGCACTTGTACCTACAGCAACTGAAACACTCTTCAGTGGAACACAAATGTTGTTATTAAGGAATTGTCAATTTATGGTCCAAAGCTACAATAAATAGACCATCATTTGGATGGGTCAGCGGTAAGCTTAACTAAGTTCTAGTTTACGTTCAATTCGCTAAAGCAAAACCAAAGTAAAACTGTGTGAATGTGTATTTTTGAAATCAAATAAACGAATTACATAAATGTAATCTTTTTTTATAAAGAGTTTTTCGAGATCTTCTCGAAGATTACACAATGATTGCCTTGGTCGTAGTAGCTTTTCTTTAATTGAACTTCTGGCAGCTGGGCCACCAGTTGCTCCAGTTCCTGCTCCTCGAAGACGTGGTAGTATCGCAGATATGTGGTCCTCTGTTCATCCTTGGTCTTCCACGGCACCAGTACGTCCTGCTGCTGGAACTCAGTGCGATTGGTGTGCACAGGAAGAGGTGTATTATTGGGCAGCTGCTGCTCCAGTTCCTGGCGCTGCTTCTGACGCTGCTGCTGCTCGGTGGTGCGCTCCTTATTCACTGCTTTATTTTGCCGCAGATAAGCTGACTTCTTATCATTCTTCCGCTGATCCTTAGCCCATACGTAGACCAAGGCACGGCCTCCAGGTCGCAGAACACGTGCCATTTCCTGAAGAGCGGCCAAACGTCGCTCGGTAGTGGCCAGGTGATGGATGACCGCTATACTGATGCAGCCATCGATGCTAGACGAGCGCACTGGAACACCAAGACAGTCGCATCGAAAGACATTCTGTCCCTTCCGACGACCCACAGCTAGTAATCCCTGGGCCCGGTCGCAACCAATGTTGATGAGCTGAGGATTGCAGCCGAGATACTTGCCATTGCCGCAGCCAATGTCCAGCACCACGGATTGCGGATCAAAGGAGTCCAGAAATTCGGCTACCTGTGGCCAGGGTGTGTGCCGCGTTTCGCTAAAGTGATCGGCAATCTTATCGTACACCTCGTGGACATTCTGTTGCTCCAAAGTGACGGCCTGAGCAGCCAGTGAGGCGTTGAGTTCCTGTGGCACCTTTGTTTGCCGAGTATCGCAGAGCGTGGGATACGAACAGTTGCAGGGTCCTCTTCGTAGGCGGCGAAAAGTCAAGGAAGTCCTCTTGCCGCGCGACTGAGTGGTTAAACCTCCGGACGAACTGGGCACCACATCGATGTGCTTTGGTCGAATGCCATGCGTCCAATCATAGCGCGCCTCATTGGACATAATCAGCAAGGATCGGCGCGGCAATCTGACCTGAACCTGCTCCTCTCCTCGACGGAAATCCATTACCACATCCGATTGCAGGGACAGCGAGAGAATGGGATCCAAAAACGCACTATGTGTGTCCACATGGGGAGGAATTCCATGACCCGGTTCGTACTCGTTCACTGTCAGCTGGTCCGGAGTGCTCCAATCCCAAGTGGAAGCGGAGTTCGGCAGGCGCGACCACAGAATATCACATGCTGATGGTATAGACTGCTCCAGAGGCTTCGAGGGATCAACGTTGTTGCTGCCGTAAAGAAACTCAAAGCCAAAGTGCTTGACGTTTCGATGCTTCAGAGTGCCCGTGGCCTCGGATCTTCTGCCATCCTCACCAATAGCCTTCAGCAGAGTGGATTCCTCATCCTCACTGACAAAGTCCGAAATTACCAGGAGTCCATTGGGCAGAGGTCTGTCCCATTCGTTTTTCCCCGCAAGATTAGGTATTTCCTTTACAAAACTCAAGTAGGCCACTGCTCCCTGTTGTCCAATGGTGGAAACGTTGTGCATGCCCAGATATATCCGCTGGGCGTCCTCCACGGTGGCACAGACCAGAAAGCAGTAGGATTTTCCCGGCAACATGACCACTTGGGTGACCTTTCCACCGGCTGTGGCCGCCGCCTGGAGCAAACACTCCTCCGTGAGTCCATTGCTCAGTCCCACGTTGAGGATCGCTAGGTAAATGGTTGGCTCATCACTTGGGGACACCTCGCAGTCGTTTTTTATGATGGCCAGACACCTTCGCTGCTTTTTATCCGCCTTTTTGGCATTGTTTACCTTTTGATGCTTCTCCTCAACGTGCATTTTGCGGCCAGTGTGTACACACCAAATTGAGTCATTTCATGGGGATAAGTCGAATTGCTTAATACCCTTTTATACAAGTGGTTCGATTAATTCAAAATTTTCATTTTTTGGCTATAATATAGTCTTTAATATACATATATGGATTTAGAGGATTTTTGTAAAATGGAATTGAAATTACATATTGAATGGATAAAAAGTAATATTTAATTGAATGATTTATTTAACAACCATTCAATGCAAGGATAAATAACTGATAAATAACGAATGCAAATCACAGAAATTTCTAAATATTTTTCGTGGTATCCAGTCAACGTCGGCCAGAAGTTTTTCTTTTTGATCTTCCTGAACTTTTGTTATTAAAACAGCGCCACATTGTGAAATAAAATTACGCTGATTGCTGCAATTCCGTTGAAACTTGGAACGCAACGCTTTGAAGATTCGTTTATCTTAGCAGGCCAGAAAATGAAAAACAAACAATAATTTTTGAGGATTTTTAGTGCAAGCGCTAATGCAAATGCAAATATTTTTATTATACAGTTTATAATCCTAATGGAGTACGTACACTAGTTGAAAGAGATAAACTTATAGTACAAATTCGGGTGCGTGCACCCCTAGCAGTCTACCAGACCCGGTCGATCATACTGTTGTCCTGGGGCTTCTGGTTCATGGTGGTCAGTTGCTGGTGATAGTTGCGCATCTGGTTGCTGCGCCGTGGCTGCGCCAGATACTCGAACATGCTCTGCAGGTGCTGGGACAGCATCTTGCTCAGGTCGCTGGGCATGGGATCCGTCCAGAAGAAGTCATGATTGAGGGCTGTGTCCGCATCGATACGCTTCTTGGGGTCAAGGGTCAGCAGCTTGTCCAGCAGATCACAGCCGGTGGGATCCTTGACATACGGACGCAGGCGCTCCTTGACGCGACGCTTCTGGTTCTTTGGCAGCTCAATCGATTTGTACAGCTCCAGCTCCTCCACTCCGGGCCACACGTCCGGCGTAAAGGAGCCGCACAGCTGCGAGATGAACGTGAGCTGCTGCTGCTCCGTGTTGCCCTGCATGATGGGCGAGCGGGTCCACATCTCGGCCATGATGCAGCCGGCTCCCCACATGTCCACGGGCGGGCCGTAGTTGCGGTCGCCCAGCAGTAGCTCCGGCGGGCGGTACCACAAGGTGACCACACGATTGGTGTAGCGATTCTTACTCTCGTTCTTTGGAATGCTGAAGGCGCGGGCCAAGCCAAAGTCGGCCAGTTTCAGGATGCCATGCTTGGTGATCAGCACATTGGCAGCCTTCATGTCACGATGCAGGATCTGGGAATGATAATAATTAGAACACTAAATATTTTGTTTATACTATAACTCACCTTGTTGCTGTGGATGTAGTACAAACCATTGAGAAGCTGCTGCATCACCTTCTTAATCTCGCCCAGACTGAACTTGACATTCATGTTGGACAGAAGGCCGGCCAAATCGTGCTCGCAGAAATCAAAGACCAAGTAGAAGGTGGATCGGTAGCCATTCGTGGCGGTGGCCTTGGTGCGGCAGATCTCGATCAGATTCACCACGTTCTCGTGCTTCAGCAGCTGCAGGATGCGAATCTCCCGCAGGGCCGTGATGGGAAACTGGATGGAGGGGAGCATACATGAGTTATGAACTGATCTTTTTTAAATATGAGGCTTTTCACGCACGCCCTCCTTTTCGTTGTCCATCAGCACCTTCTTCATGGCCACAAACTTCTTGTTGCCCTTCTTCTCGCGGGCCTTGAAGACCTCCCTGCAAACGGAGAAGTCGAGTTTGGGTATCCAAAGTTAGTTACGTCTATTTTAACCACTTACCCAAAGGTTCCCTGGCCAATTTTGGCCACCTTCTCGTATTTGTTGCTCTCGTCGCAGTAGGGAAAGTCATAGTCCTCGATGTACTTTTGTTTCTCCATCAGGGACATCGTGCGCGAGGAGCTGGAGCCCACGCTGGAGGGCGTCGACGCCGACGGCTGCTGGAGCATGTGGGACATGTGCGCCATGCTGGAAAATGCTTTTATAATTACGGATTTTCACAATTTCCAACTACGAAAAGCAAGCCGACAGACGAAAAGAAAGAAACCAGCAACAATTGCTGTTGCCACAGCTGTTGGTTATCGATTTGTTATCGATAACGCTAAACAGCTGTTCAAACAGTTTTCACCCTTCGATTGTTTGTACACACTGGCCAAGTGATATAACCTAGCGACAATTTGGCCAAGCAGTAAAACCAGATTTAATGAATAAACTATTGAATATAGCGCAGGCCGGGCAGCGCCAGTTTGTCCGGGAATATGCCTTCAAGTCGGATCTGAAGATCAAATGGGTGCGCCCCGAGAAGATCGCGTGCTTTAAGCCGGAGAAGAGCGGCGATCTGGGCAAGCTGCCTCCTCTGAAAGCCGACGAATTGCTGCCGGAATTCCGGGACTGCAAGGAGCTGGAGAAGTAAGTTGCTGCATTCTATATATTAAACAGATAATAAAAATAATTTGTAATTTCTGTAGAGCCGACGAGTTGGTTAAATCGCAGTTCAGGCTGAGCAACAACGCCAGCTACCTGACCACAAAGTTCTATCGCGATGAGATGGTCAAGGAGGTGCAAAGGCATGCCCAGGATTTCGGGTCAATGGAGGCCAGGTGTATGTATCATTAAAGAGTGCCAGTACTACAACTTAATCCCCTTTAAACTCTCCTTTTAGTGGCCAAAATGACTGCTGTGATCCGGCGCTACCAGGAGCACATGGATGCCCATCCGCGCGATAAGATGATCAAGGTGCGACTCAAGGAGCTGATTGACAAGCGCAAGAAGTTCCTCAAGTACCTGCGACGCTGGGACTATCCCCGCTTCGAGTGGATCCTCGAGAGACTCGAACTGGTGTACAAGCCGCCGCCCGCACATTTCCACTGGATCACCCGCAAGGAGTCGCTGCAAAAGTTGACCGACCCGTACTGTGAAAACCTGAAGGAGGAGCGCTTGGAGGCCTACCACAAGCAGCTGCAGGCCCAGCAGATCCCCTTCCTCGAGGAGGCCATCAAGAAGATGCAGTTCGTGCGGCAGGAGCAGATATCCTGCGATGTGCCCGTCACGGTGACCGAGGAGCAGATCGCCGACTCCAAGAGGCAGCTGGCGCAGCTTAAGGAACTGCAGCAGGCGGAGGCGGCAGCCAGCAGTCAGAAACAAAACGAGGATGGCTTCAATTAGGCCCGATTTTTTAATGTTACGGTGTCTTACAATAAATGTAAATGCGGATGTTCTTAAATTATACGTTTTATTATACTTTTAGAGTAGACTGGACATCGTACCACGTTGTCATGATCATCTGAGCGCAGACTGGCGAATAAATAAGCAGGGCAAGATCGATTGCCCCTTAAAGAAATGTATGAAAACAGATGAAATTAGGGAAAACATCTTAAAGGGTACGGATCGCAGCTAGCGCCTGCCGGTTTTTCGCTTGCCACCGCTGCTGGAGCTACTCGAGCTGCTCGACGACGAGTCACTGGAGCTGGACGAACTGGACGACGACGAGGAGGACACGGAAGAGGTGGAGTCGCGCGAGGTGCGCTTGCGCTCCTTGTCGCCATTGGCCGTGGGCTCCTTGCTCTTGGCATCCGTGGATGTGACCTCGTCGTCGCCCCAGAGATCGTACTTGGACAGATCCTCGTCGTCGTCTCCCTCGTCGTCGTCCTCGTCCTCTTCCTCCTCCTTCCTGGCCCGCTTGGAGTCCTCTCGCTCCTCTTCGTGCTTTCGCTTTTTGCGACGCCCGAACTCATCGTACTCGCTGTCCGACTCCTCACGATCCTTGTACTCCACCACGCCGCGATCGTTGTAGCCACCGCCGAAATCCTGAAAAAAGGAAGTTTAATATCCGAAGAGATTGGGGCTGCTTCTTGCCACTTACCGGTACGCTCCTCCACATCCGTGAACTTGGGAGCGTTGCACATGTTGCACGTCTGGCGACGAGCCCAGTTCACATTGGCGCACTTGCTGCACTGCCAATCCTCGGCGCTGAACAAACCGCGCGACTTGTCGGCCGCCGCCTTGCCAATCTCCGTGCCCAGCTTCTTCTTGCTGGAGCTGCTGCTACTGCTGCTGCTGCCGTTGCCCCGATCCCGATCCCGATCGCGATCCCTATCCCGCTCCGGCTTATCACTGCTATCGCGGTCGCGGTCGCATTTGTTGCACTGCAAACGGCGGGCGAAATTCAGATGGCGACAGCTGCAAAATCGGGAAAAAGGGTGAGATTTGCGGGACTCGAGGCCCGGTTCCGGCTATCCCTGCATCTTTACGGGCACTCACTCGTAATCTGGGCAAATCCAGTCGCCAGGCGAAGCGACGCTTCCTCCGCCGCTGCCTCCTGCGCCGCCCGACGCCACGCCCCCGTTCGAAGTGGACATGTCTGGGCGTTGGCTGAGACTTCTGCTAAAGGATGTTGCTACTGGGCGTCCAAGTAATCCTCCACAGGCCTCAGGAGCGGCATCTAACCGAGACTTTTTTTTACCAATATAATATTCTGTATACGGTACGATTAGAGCTGTTAAAACATCGATCTGACTATCGATAGTCTGGCTTTGGCCGGCGCAATTGTTTGCTTATCGCCTACTGCGATAGGTTATATTTCAAACTGCTATTTAGGGTATTCCTTTATGTTTTTAAAAATTAATAGGGGGATTCCCAAAATTTTTAAATAAAAAATTTATAAAAAAAAAAAAAAAAATTTAAAAAAAAAAAAAAAACCAAAAAAAATTTTTTTTTTAAAAAAAAAAAAAATTTTTTTTTTAAAAAAAAAAAAAAAAAAAAAAAAAAAAAAAAAAAAAAAATTTTTTTAAAATATTTTAAAAAAAAAAAAAAAAAAAAAAAAAAAAAAAAAAAAAAAAAAAAATAAATTTTTTTTTAAAAAAAAAAAAAAAAAATAAAAAAAAAAAAAAAAAAAAAAAAAAAAAAAATAAAAAAAAAAAAAAAAAAACTATTTTAAAAAAAAAAAAAAAAAAAAAAAACCACCCCAGAGTAAAATAAATAAAAAAAATAAAAAAAAAAAAAATATAAAAAAAAAAAAAAAAAAAAAAAAAAAAAAAAAAAAAAAAAAAAAAAAAAAAAAAAAAAAATAATAAGTAAATAGATAAAATTATTTATCATAATCCAATAAACTAAATTTAAATTGCCAACATTTAAAAATAAATAAAAAAAAATATTTACAATAAAAGTCAACATATTTGTCATAATAGCTAATTGCGGACATAGATGACATTTTAATCATACAAAAAGTTAAGCGACCTCAATAAATTAAATTTAAATTGCAAACATTTAAAAAAAAATAAGAACAATTTACAATAAAAGTCAAAATATTTGTCATAATAGCTAAATGCAAACATTGATGACATTTTAATCATACGCAACTTTTTTAAAAAGTTAAGAGACTATGGATTCCATAAAAAAGCTAATAAAAAGAAACACCAACAAATCAAAAATAATGATTTAGTTGTTCTTTGAAGTAGAATGTCGTATTAAAATATAAGGAACTGTTTGTCATTGACTTCGATTGCTAATTAATATTGGTTATTCAAATAAACGAAAAGGAAAAAAGTAAACTTAAAAAAAAAACACAATATCTAGACACTGTTATTAGAAAAACCAGGCAAACTACGGAAGAAATTTCCAAGCAATAAATGGGTTTTTAATTTGTCCAACTATTCAGAATAAGTTAACTCATTTCCAGAACTCCACTTGCACTCGCACTTTTCCCAGGACAATCAACCACAAGGACTTGTATACTTTTAGAGTTTTATTTCCTTAGTTTACAAACAAAAGCCGCTCCAAAAGTAAACACTGATTTTGTTTTGTCGTTTGTTGGATGGTGGATAAAGGAGTTGAACTAACGCATAACCAGCAGCTTTTGGGAATAGTCGGGGACAGCGACAGACGACATCCTCGCTCAGGCGGCTTACTTCTTGCCAGTGCCGATCTTGGCCTTGGCAGTGCCGCGCACCTTCTTCATCCTGTTGCGGCGCTCCTTGCGCTGCTTGCGCGTCTGCTTCTTCTGCTCGAAGAGACCGTGGCGGGCCAGACGGTACTTGGGCTCGAACTTCTTGGCGAAGTCCAGGGTGTCGTAGATGAGGGCGAAGCCCGTGGAGCGGCCGCCACCGAAGTTGGTGCGGAATCCGAAGGCGAAGACCACATCGGGGGTGACCTTGTACATGGCCGCGAGCTTCTCGCGGATCTCGGTCTTGTTCACCGACGAGAGTCCAGGGTGCAGGACATCGCAGACCATCTGTTTCCTGGCGAGCAGGCGGTTGGTCATGAACTTGCGGGTGCGGATAGTGGCGGTTGTACCGGACATTTTGACGGAGCTGCAATAGATGGATCGGTCATTAGATTGGGTCTTTCATTCACGCACAAATCTCGCCGCTGCAGATTGTTTTTGTCTCCCCCGAGCGAATCAACATAACCTCACTGGCCGTGGGTGCTCCATGTCCCCACGTGTGACACGTTTCTGGGTTTATCGGCCACCCACGGACGGAGCCTCCATTCCCAGGGCAAGGGGCATTTAACGGGCGAGCTTTGGCTGCATTTTAAACTAGTTCTGGGGGCTAATTACCTTTTAAAACACTTGAAAAGGTTTTAAACACGTCGTTTTGCGAACGCGATTTATTAGAAAGGAAGATGGCCGTGCCTTAGGGATGGAAGAAAAAGCGATGATTCGATACTATCGATATTTACAGAAAGTGGCAGCACCGATGTTTTCTTGGCAACCATTGTTGCCACAACGTTGGGTTTATTTGAATTTAGCAAACCCTTTGGAATTTATTTAAATTGAAAAATGCTTTCCAATAAACTGAATTCAAAACCAAATTAAATAATTACATTTGATCATTGGTCTTGGCTGATCGGAACCAAAAAGAAAGAAGATTACTGATTAGAAATCGTAAAGGCATCTATCAATAAACTGTAAGCACGGACTCAAACCAGAGCAATACTTTTGATTGGCGCGAATTTTAAAACCTTTTTTCAGATTAGACAATCCCAGGAATTATGAAAAAGCAACCTATTCAACATTCTTTAAATGCAATGAAATATACAGATTAAACAATTCGAGTGACTAACATTAAGTGACTATCACTCTTTTAGTTCATTTTCCTTTAGCTGGGAAATTAAATAAATGGCCTAGTTCCTTCTTTATCTGTGGCTTCTATGAATTAAAATAAAACACATGGAAAATAAACCATTTTGTCTTGAAGTGTCCGTAATTCGCTTGCTCGAGAAACAGCTTAAAGTAATTAATTTGGATCCAAGAAAAAGTCCCATGCAATTTGAAGTTCTTGAATGACAAAAATAAACTTTCTGCTGATTCAGCTTTTTCTTTTAAAATATTCTTGGGAATAGCAGATTCATATTGCACCAAAAAAAACTGCACAAGATGCACTTTATTTTCATACATGAAACTTAATTTACTTTGGTCGCCTTGGAATCGTTCTTCTTATTCCAAAAATAAACACCTCCGTAGATCAGGGCCGCCAAGAAGGTCACCACTAAAGTAGCGATTCCAGCATAGAACACAAAGAGGTCAAAGAGGTGCAAGTGGCAGGAGGAGATTCCCAATTCCACGGGTCTTCAAAGCCGCTCCTCCCTTGTGCCGGGCCACGTAGTTCACCCAGAAGAGAGCGCTGGCCAGAGCGCCGAGGGGACGATCCCTGTACTCCAGCGACACATCGCGAATGGTCAGCTGGAAGTGGGACTCCCGGAGCAGCCTGTCCACTGCCCAGTTAAGGGAGATTGCCGTCACATTGCCCTCCTCCAGCGGCAGACCCACTCCCAATCGCACGGCCAGCTCCATGTTCCGTCTTTCGTGCTGGAAGAGGGGCAATCCCAGGATGGGCACATTCCGCACAATCCCTTCCTGCAGGTTCAGTAGGTCTCCATTGGTCAGGAAGACCTTGACCCTGGGATGAGCGAGAATATCGATTTGTGGCACTGCATGCTGGATCATCACATTCTTGGGCAAACCCTCCAACTTCTGGACATCGTGACAGGTCCAAATGATCCCCTCCTTTCGGGAGGAGAAGAAGGCAATCAGGGTGTCCAGCTTTTCCTTGGGCAGCTGGCCACATGGCTGCTCATTTCCCAGCTGCACGTAGATAGCCCCGGGACGCGACTCGACCAGGAAGCGCTTCACATTCCACGGCAGCTCCTTGGGACCCCGGATGTGCAATCCACCAGCGGGAACGATCTGCTGGATACTCACTTTGGGAGTCATCAAGGGCACATGGCTATTTAAAAGGAGTACAGATAGATGGCTGGCCTGCAGTTCGGGAATCGAGTGCTGCTGCTTAAAGTACTTGGTTACTAGTTGCTCCTGACCGCCGTAGTGATCCTTGATGAACCGCTTCCGGCGGCCAATGCACTCCCTGATATTTCCAAGTCTCTCGGAGAAGCTTAACTGAAGCGAATCCCGCTCAAAATCAATGGGTGAACAGGCGGCGGGAACCAGAGCCTCCTGCACAGCATCCATGTAGTTGCCAAAATCTGTGGATACGATCCCCACAACGGGCCTCTGATGAAGTGCACCCAGTGCCAGCAGAGCCTCCGTGTAGAAGTAGTCCACTAGGATCACATCGAAATCGAATTCAAGGTAGGTCATCCTCAGCAGTTTCTGGACAGGATCTTGGGCGAGAAAGTGATCCAGGGCACGGGCTCCCACGATGGCCAACGACTGGCGAAGATTTTCAATGGGCAGACGACCCAAATCAGCGAGATTTCCCTTGGGCGCCGCCTCTTTTTGCACTGTTTAGGGATAGTATTAGTATTATAAAATATCCATTTAGTAATCTTTAATCTTTCTACTTACACTCGCTCCAAAAGGGATATTCCGCTGTCACCGTTTCCGTTACATTATCCAGGGATTCGCCCAAACCATGAGCAGTATAGACTTCAATCTTTGAGAAGTAATTTTCTGATTATAACCACCGATACTAAAGAGGATTACCACTTACTGTATGCTCTCGGTTGGCCAATTCCGTGACCAGAGTTCGCATTACCGCAAAGTGACCCTCGTTGGCATGGGGAAACAGTACCAAGATCTTGGCTGCCTGGGCAAAAGGACCCAGGAGTAGAGCAAAAAGAGCCAGCCAGAACCAACGATTCCATTGAGATTCCTGTAGAATAAAATTCACAACAATTTAGGTCACTTCCAAAAGTACACATCATCCAATAAAAGATGAACCCGGCCTTTTCTTATCACTATGTTGTCAGGCTATTTAGATGATATTTTAAGAACTTCTTGTTACTACTTTAACCCACCATATTCGGAGGAGATTCAATGATCAGCTAGGGAGTAGAATTAAGTTCCGGCCGCAATTCAATTGCATTTGTCCGGAAAACTCTTCCGGTTATATTGAGTATACGAATCAGACTGAACTTATCTCTCCTTGCGCCCTGACTCCGCACAAAAAAAAACACAACTGATTGCTCTCGGGAATATAATCTTAGAAATACGTCCAGAATTCTGTGGTCACTGGAACATGTGTGGCACATGAGATTGCCACCAGACCCCAATACAAATGCCTTGTATATAGATCCTATTCATTAACGTATACAGAGCGATTGTGGGGTCTCGAAAAGGGGTACAATTGCATATATTGTATGTATACAATTCCCCCCAGTTGAGCGATATGAGATCGTCTCTTGAGTTCATTGTTTCTCTTGCAATACGAAAAAAAAGAGTGAGGACTTATATGCATAATTGTACAATCGTCTTATGTTTGAGTTAATTCGCTAATTGCAAAAATTGCAGTGTCATCAATGTCTGAATAAAGTTATAAATATATTTAAGTTTCAGCTGCTAGAGGGTTCTAAATTTACAGCCCTTTGAGATACATTTACGGATTTTAATCTAGTTCTTGAGTATCTTTCAAGTTCTATATAGAAACCAGACAGTTGGTAATTCCTAGTCAGTTTCTACCAGTCTGTGACCCACTTTAAGTGGCAAATTATATAAATTTATCCAGAAACAGACTTACACCTGTTCATCCAATCATACCCAATTAATTCCCAGCACCAAAAAAAAAACTGAGTAAATACATATGTGTGTACTTTAAATTGCCGCAAATGTGCAAATCAGAAAAATGTGACAAAGCGAACGATGTTTATCAACAAGAGTCTAAATCGAGAGCCGCAGAACATAAATGCAAAGGCAAACAAATTGGCGAAGAAGGCAAAAACCGGTTGCCACTAAGGGAAGTCGCCAAAAGAAAGCGATGGAAGGGGTTTCAAAACCGGTTCATTGAACCTGTATAGTGTACACCACCGGCATCATGGTATAGACACACACAAGAGTTGAACAAAAAAAGAACGCTTCTCTACAGCTCCTTTATCACACACAAATTTCTTTATTGATGCCGTTTCTTTTCATTTTCTTTTATAGTTGAGCACATTTACTTGCTTACGGAACAAAATGTAAATAAACATGGCGGCGAGCTATGGTAAATGCAAATGTCTGGAAAAATCGATTATGCGTTTAGGCTTAAATCAAATCGGTTATGTTTGCTGATGGATGATGAAGCTCCGTGCCAGTTTAGTCGGTGGCATCGGCCTTGGCCACGGAGAAGGGCTCGGCGACGGGGAATGACGCCGCTGTTGGCGATGACCACATCCTTGACGGGACGATCGCGGGCATCGGTGGCCGAGTTCTCGATCTGGCGCACCACATTCATGCCCGAAACGATCTTGCCGAAGACGACGTGACGTCCATCCAGCCAGCTGGTCTGCTTGGTGGTGATGAAGAACTGCGATCCGTTGGTGTCCTTGCCAGCGTTGGCCATGCTCAGCCAGCCGGCGCCGTAGTGCTTCAGCTTGAAGTTCTCGTCCTCGAAGCGCTCGCCGTAGATGGAGCGTCCGCCGGTGCCGTCGCCCTTGGTGAAGTCGCCGCCCTGGATCATGAAGTCCTTGATGATGCGGTGGAACTTGCTGCCCTTGTAGCTGCGGGGGAGAAAATGGGTAACATTTAAATTAATGACTTTCAAAATGATTTGATATTTTAAGAAAAATAAAAAGTTCTTAAAAAATATTTTTAAAAAATGTATAACTAGATCTATTTGAACTCAGGCTTCTAGGAAATTATTTTTATATTATTATTATCTGAGGCATTATTAGCTGCGGGGAAGAAAAGGGATTAAATTTTAATTTTTTTTGTATTATTATTATTATTAATTATTTTTTTGTATTATTATTATCTTAGGCATTATTAGCTGCAGGGAAGAAAAGGGATAAAATTTAAATTGGTATCCTTACAAAAGTTTTAATATTTTAAGAAAAATTAAAAGGTTTTTAAAAAAATACTAAAAAAAGTATAACTAGATCAATTTGAACTCAGACTTTAGGATATTATTATTATGTTTTTTTTGTATTATTATTATCCGAGACACAACAGTTAGCGCTCTTTGTTAACCCATTAGTGCCAACTATTCCCGAGATTCGCTTTGTCAACTGATGATTGGTCGGTCGCTCAAACGCCACGTAATTGCTTCAATCTGAGAGCCCCGCTATAACCTATAAAGACTCGTATTGCCCTGCTGGTATTGGTGGTGTGCGAGTGCCGTTAATCAGCGGCATCTTTCGCCTAGCCTAGCGGTACCTGGTACTTTACATACTCTACATATTTTCTATTGTTTTTGCTTTGAATTAGCATGTACTCACCCCTCGCCCTCGGGCTTCTGAGCCAGCTCCTGGAAGTTCTCCACCGTCTTGGGAACAGTCTTGCCGAACAGACCGATTTCGATGCGACCGGCCGGATCGCCGCCAATGGTGATGTCAAAGAAAACCTACGCAAGCGGAATTGGTTTATTATTAACAAATCATCTCACTTGATTTATGGCGCAGCGAATGTGTGTGTATGCATTGCCGGGTACATATGTATGTACAGATGTTTTATAGTTCTAGGAAACTGGCAGGACGAAAGAGAAAGGAGCACCCACCTTTGCGGTCACTTTGGGTCCCTTGCTATCGTCGCCAACGACGATGCCGGCCACCAGGGCCACCACGAACACGGATAGAAACAACTTCATGCTTCCAGAATTTTTCAGCGATTGAATTATTTTTCCGTTGAGCTCGTATAATATATGTTTTGGTGTGCGTAAGCCAGAGTTGCCAACTCTTCGGCTCAAAAAAGAACTAAATTAGCCTTTGAAAGTAGCTAGAAGTAGCCAGGGGGGTGTCTCCGCTATGTAAGGAAGGTGTATTCGCTAGCGGCCACTTAGAAAAGGGTCACACTGTCCTGGCGGGAAAATTTAAAATTTTAAATATTTTTAAATTGGGTAATAAAACTAAAAGTGAACATAAGATGCAAGGGAGCACAAATCAACAATAAAGAAATAATTTGCAGAAAGAAACATGTTCACTGAATCATTTTAGTGAGCAACTCTTTTATGTTATAATAAAGTTTAATAAAAGCTACTTGTATACATATATATTTGTATAACAATTAATTCAAAGTACATATCCAAGATGGTTTAACAATCAAATAACAATCCATACAGAAACCAAACAAATTCGCAATCAGGGCGAGTTGATTTGCCGGATAGGGATTTCGGATCTAAATAAATTGTAAACAACTTTTATATTCTGGGTAATTTTTATTCACGTTCCTAAATAATATAGAGGAAAACCCAAAATATACTTATCTCTATGGAGAAGATTCAAGTGACGCGTAGTATTAATCTTTAAATGCGAAGTCTCGTCTTCATCTCATCAGTGTAGCTTTCAAGCGATAGCGTATAAGTCATGTTTAAAAGAAGTTCGTCCGGTTTCACGGCTATAGTCCTGTTCATTTTGCTTCATGGGGAACCATCGAGCACAAATCCAACAGCTACCCTCGATGAGCAGTGCAAAGGTTATTGCTATACTGTTTTTAAGCCCCTTCTCGATCCCCTAGTCAAATGCATAGAAGGTGCTGAATTAAGTAACACACGTAATAAAAAATTAATATTCTTGGAAGCCACCGTTAAGGACTTGCAGAGTCAACTGGACAGCACTCGAAAGCAACTGAGTGAAAAAGAACTGCAAATGAATGATAAGGATAGACAAATCGAAGAATTGAGAAATACAACAAAATTGATGAGTAAAATAAGTGACCAGTTCAAAACTCAGCGGGATGAGAATCTACCGGACTATTGCCCCAGTGGCCGACCGAATGGCATTTACCAGATAAAACTGCCTGGAATAGACCCCTTCGATGTTCCATGCGAGTCATCCACTCCTGGATGGACTGTTATCCAAAGGCGCCTTGACGGAAGCGAAAACTTTAAGCGCGGGTGGCAGGAGTACAAGGATGGGTTCGGCGATGTACGCCAAGAGTTCTTCATTGGCCTCGAGAAACTGCACTTGATGACCGCAGCCCAACCCTTTGAACTTCACATACAGCTTCGTGATGTAAAAGGAAAAACTAAGTACGCTCATTACGATGATCTTAGAGTTGCCGGCGAAAGGGATTCTTATAAGCTATCCTCTGTTGGCAAATATTCCGGTACCGCAGGGGACTCGCTGTCGCAGCTCAAAGGAAATAATTTCACCACATTCGATCGAGATAATCGGTGTGAGGACACACATTCCGGTGGCTGGTGGGAGGATACAAGCTGTGTTGTAAGGTACGTAGATTATATGCTAAAATAAATAAAAATAAAAGATAAAACTATCACTTTAAACTACAGCATGCTCAATGGAAAATACTACAAAGATGGCCTAATGGAAGAAGGTCAGGAATATGGCATTTACTGGGGATCATTTCGGGCTCGTCCAGAGTCGCTGACCTTCATTCAGATGATGATAAAGCCAAAAGCCTGATAACCGAATAATGTTCCTTTTGATTGAATTTTAAATAAATGGAACTACTCGAAATGCAGTCCCCAATTATTAAAGACTTTTATTGGAATTTTCTGCTCACCTTGGGTTCTGTGCGTCTCAATAGATTGTGAAACGCAGTTAGCAGTATAATAAAGTACTGTGAAATATACTTGTGTATACATATATATTTGTATAACAATTAATTCAAAGTACATATCCAAGGTGGTTTAACAATTAAATTGTTTGCATTTAACAACAGAAAATTTAATTAAATTTAACTAGCTCCATACAGACACCAAACAAATTCGCAATCAGGGCTATATATACGTGAATTGAGTAGGGAATATTCGCCGGATGGGGATTCCGGATCGAGGGGAATACGTTTTAGTAGTAAAAGAGTTCGGGGAAGTTCGTCTCGTAGATGGGCTTCTCATTGCCAGCTTGCAACTGAGCGGCCTTGGTGTCGCTCTGCGTAATCTGGCGTTCCACGGCCAGCGAGTTGAACAGCTCATTCAGGCGGTTTTGGATGAGATCGTGCTGGAAGAAAAAGATTATAATGTTGTTATTCGGAAGTAATAAATTGGATTAAAATAATTTGTAAGCAACTGTTTTATTCTGGGTAATCTTTATTCACATTCCTAAATAAGTATAGTATATATTTTGCGGAAAACCCAAAATATGCTTATCTCCATTCCAGCGGCGTATATGATTCAATCCTTAATTCAGAAGTCTAGTCTTCATCTCATCAGTCTAGCTTTAAAACGAAAGCGTTCAAGTCATGTTTAAGGCTATAGTCCTGTTCATTTTGATTCATGGGCAACTATCAAGCACCAATCCAACAGCTACCCTCGATGAGCAGTGCAAAGGTCATTGCTATACGGTTTTTAAGCCCCTTCTCGATCCCCTAGTTAAATGCATGGATGATGGATGATGCTGAACTAAGTAACAAACGTAAAGAAAAGGTTCTATCCCTGGAAGCTACGGTGAAGGACTTACAAAATCAGCTGGTCAGTACTAAAAAGCAACTGAGTGTCAAAGAAATTCAAGTGAAAGATAAGGATAGACAAATCGAAAATCTGCGTGATACATCGAAATTGATGAGTGAAATAAAAGAACAGCTGAAAACTCAACGGGATGCGAATGTACCTAACTTAGAAGCCACCGTAAAGGTGTTGCAGATTCAACTGGACAGAACTACAAAGCAACTGGATGATAAAGAAATTCAAATAAAAGATAAGGATAGACAAATCAAAGACCTGACGAATAAATCGAAATTGATAAGTGACTTGGAAGCCACTGTTAAGGTTTTGCAGAGTCAACTGGAAAGTACTGCAAAGCAACTGAGTGACCAAGAAATTCAAATGAAAGCTAAGGATAAAGAAATGGAAAAACTGCGAAATACATCGAAATTGATGAATGAAATAACAGAACAGCCCAAAACTCATCGGGATGAAAATCTACCGGACTTGGAAGCCACCCTTAAGGACTTACAAAATCAGCTGGACAGAACTGCAAAGGAATTGAGTGACCAAGAAATTCAAATGAAAGATAAGGATAGACAAATCGAAGAATTGAGAAATACAACAAAATTGATGAATAAAATAAGTGACCAGTTCAAAACTCAGCGGGATGAGAATCTACCGGACTATTGCCCCAGTGGACGACCAAATGGCATTTACCAGATAAAACTTCCCGGAATAGACCCCTTCGAAGTGCCATGCGAGTCATCCACTCCTGGTTGGACTGTCATTCAAAGGCGCCTTGACGGAAGCGAAAACTTTAAGCGCGGGTGGCAGGAGTACAAGGATGGGTTCGGCGATGTACACCGAGAGTTCTTCATTGGCCTCGAAAGGCTGCACTTGATGACCGCAGCCCAACCCTTCGAACTTCACATACAGCTTCGCGATGTAAAAGGAATTACTAGGTACGCTCATTACGATGATTTTAGAGTTGCCGGCGAGAAGGATTCTTACAAGCTTGACTCGGTTGGCAAATATTTCGGTACCACAGGGGACTCGTTATCGCAGCTCAAAGGAAATAATTTCACCACATTCGATCGAGATAACCGGTGTGAAGATACACATTCCGGTGGCTGGTGGGAGGATACAAGCTGTTCTGTAAGGTATGTGTACTACATGCTAAAATAAATAATAATAAATGATTAATCTATCACTTTAAACTACAGCATGCTCAATGGGAAGTACTACAAAGATGGCCTAATGGAGGAAGATCAGGAATATGGCATTTATTGGGGGTCATTTCGGGCTCGCCCGTATTCGCTGACCTTCGTTCAGATGATGATAAAGCCGAAAGCCTGATAATCGATTAATGTGCTTTTAAATTGAATTAAAAATAAATGGAATACAATTGTAAAATTGGGATCCCTCCAATTATCTTAAATTTGGACTCTGTCAACCGAAAAAATATCCTGAAATTTCCTAACTTTAAAAATCCACCATAAATCCATTTTTCCATGGATTTTGGCCATATTCGGATGGTTTTATGTGGTAGGATGTAAACTTCAAGTTTGTTTTCCTTATGATTTTTCAACGGATTTTTTTTTCGAGTTTTTACGATATATACAGCAATAATATGCACTGGATATGAGCCGAGATATGAGAACAAATTCGAAATAAGTCAGAAATTTAACATTTTGAACTTTAAAAAATCTGTAAAAAAAACTGTGCCATCGAAAAAAAATAAGTGGTATTTTCGTGATCTAAGGCTCCAACACTAACAGAATTTGCCATCAATTGCTCCAAGAATATTATTTTGTAAACTAGTGTTATCAAATGTGAACACCCAATAGAATTTTCTGCTCACCTTGGGTTCTGTGCGTCTCATTAGATCGTCAAACTCGCCCTCGCGGAAGGTGCGAACGATCTGCATCTGGCGCTCGCGCTGCTCCCGCTTGGCAGCCTCAGTGGGCTCCGCCAGAGCCCGCTTCATGGCATCAAAGTTGAACTCGGGCGCCAGGAGCTTCTTGCAAACGCCCGGCGAACTGCTAACGCTGTCCACATCGCCGTTGTAAACGGTCAGATCCGCAGAACTGTTGCGCTGGGTCAGCTGGTTGCTGACCGACTCCACCCAGGAGTGCCGATGGCCCGGATGATCCGTCTGGTTGAGCGAGTACGGTGCTCCCGTGTTGATCCGCTGGGCATCCATGCCCGCGTTCTGCAGACACTCTCCCAGCGCCAACTTGTCTATGGCAAGGTGCGGCAGCGATAGATTTAGATTCTTCCCGGACACCTTCTTCGGCTCGAGCAGCGGTGGCAGGTAGTGGGTGGCCTCCTCCCGCCGAGCGTCCACGATCTTTTGAGCATACTCCAGCAGGTTGTTAATGCCGCTCACTCGCGCGATGAGCACCAGCAGGCCAATGGAGATGGCGTGCAGGCTGCACTTGTGCACGGGTCCCAAAGTATCCACGGTGCTGGCCACCTGCTGGATTCTACAAGGGGTAAAATTAAAGGAGTTACATTATTTCATTAGATTATAGCCAAAGAAACCTCACCCCAGGATAAACAGTAGAAACTCCTGCACCGTTTCGTTGCAAGACATCTCGACGATGAGCAGCGCGGCGGTGTTATAGCTCGAGGAGAGGGCATCTACTCGATCCGACAGCGCCATTGAGTCGATCAGCGCCTGCATAATGTTGGCGCCGTACTTGTGCGTGAATATGATGTCGGAACGTGATGGCGGCTCTTGCGAGAGCGCTGGGTATGGCTTCACACTGACGCTGCTGAGCACCTTTTCGTTCTGGTGCCGATCGAGCAGCGCTTGCAGAATCTGCATCACAACCATGCGCGTGGGATCGTGCGGCGCTCGAGCCATCTTAAGCAGCGGCTGCAGGAAGGAGGCCGGAAAGGCCTTCTCAAACGAGACGGTGCTGTACTGGGTGCCCACCTTGAGCAGCGATTTCAGCAGGATGTTCTGCAGCATCTGGTCGCCCTTGCTCTTCTTCGATAGATCCGGCACCGTGTTCATGATGAACAGCATGATTTCGATCTTCTGGTAGTCGGGATGATGGTTAGCAAACTCGCCGAGCGCGTTAATAAGCGCCTCCTGGTACTGCGACTCCTCGGGTGTGATCTCGGTGGTCGTGCTCACACTCGTTCGCAAATGGGTCAGCAGATTGTTGATAATGTCCAGGGCCGAGGGCCCGACACTCTCGCCCGCTGCTATGGCGATAATCTTTGAGAGAACTACTGCCAGCGAGGTGCGCGTCTTGGGCGAGGACTTGAAGTTGTTGTCCAGATGCTGCATCAGCGTCTCCACCACGGTGTACGAGTACTGCGGCTGTATGGAAATCATCACGATGCGGAATGTGTGAATCGCAAATGTGTTGGGCACCCACAGCTCATGGCGGTCCAGGTGGCTGTAAATCAAGATTAGCAACGGCTGGCTAAACTTCCGGGGGGCGCTACTTACGTCAGCAGCGGCTTCAGAACGCTGCGAATGTGTCCAAAGGAGGCGCGACCCACCAGCTCGCGCAGTACCTCCTCCGCCAAAGCGGGCGGCGTTACATTGGTGGCATCCTCCACGGGCGTTAGATCCCCGGACTGCAGTAATTACAAAAATATGCATTAATATCAAGATTTAATCACATGACTTATCAGCTTTCACAAATATGCTTATGTAATGGAACAATTCGATTACCGCCAGTAAATTTTTCTTCACGAACATAACGTTTACACAAAACTGTTTGGTTATTGTTGTGTGTTGGTTGTGTTGTGGTTGGTTTGGATTGGGTTTGCATTAACAAAATACACGAAAACGAAAGGCAAAATACATCGAAATTAGTACAGTAATTGGCCAATGGGACAGACAACTGGGATGGATGGCTGGATCCATCTCCGAACGGCTATGTAGAGTGGTAAAACCCTGTAAATACCCACCTGCATGTTGAACAGCAGCGAGGGCACTATCTTCTCCATGTGCTCCGCCTCCCAGATGTTCTCCACCAGATCGTCGGACACTGTTTTCCGGATGACGCCCTGCAAGCCCTTGATCCCCGCCAAACGCAAACTGTCCCGCATGCTGGCCGCATCACTGTGGCACATCGAAGAGAACTTCGAGATGAAGAAGTCGTAGCGTCGATGGTAGGATGGGGTGTCCTCGTTGATGTTGGCGAACTTCACAAACTGCAAGGGGAGAGGTTTTAATATGGAGTTGTGTAGGTTTTATAGTAGGATCTTACCGAATTGGTGGCCATTATCTTGAGGTTGGGGTTTGAGTCCTCCAGCAGCTTCTGCACCATGCGCAGGAAGGACTCTACAAACAGATTCAGCGTCGTTTGGGCATGGCAGGCCTGAAGGAGCAGGTCCATGGCCTCCATGGCGATTTCGGCCAGTCTGGGAATTACAAAAGAAAGTTGATTAAAGGGAAATTCCTACTATTCTTACCACTTACTTGTAGCGCTTCCTGTTAATGTCCTTGGTGGCCTTCTGGTACAGGTACTCGCCAATCCTGTCCAGCTTGTCCGGCGAACTGAGCGAGTAGAAGGTCAGCTTCTCCATGTTCGACTTGACCAGGCCGTCCTCCGGATTCACCGGGAATATGTTGTCCACCAGGCGCTTGTAGCGCGGCCTGAGCGCCGAGCAGCATCCGCAGCAGCCTAGAAGAGCGCAGGGAAAGGCACAGCGGTTAGAGGGATTGGGCAGGCAGACGTGGATGCAGCGGTAGGTGAACATGGCGCCACCGCTCCGCTGGCGAGAGTGGTGGTGGTGGCGGTGTGAAAAGCGACTCGGGTCGAACTGGGTGCGACCACCATTTTCCGCTTAATCTTATCGCGATAATTGCCCTAGTGGACTATAGTTTTGCTGTTTGAGTGATTGGACGGCTCATCGCTCGCTGGGTTGATGTTGATGGCTTCCGCCACCCGTCGTCCGTCCTGCCCCCCTTAGAATCAACACAACCCAACACCCAACTCCCTGCCAGTCCATCGATTTGTCGGTGTCGTCATTCCTGGCCAATTGCCCCTGGTGGCGAGGTCATCTCGCTCAATGGCCCGTGGCACGCCAAGCGAATGACACCTGTGCCCGCCGACCGCTTACCAGGCATTTCGGCGTCGCGATTCGCTTCTTGGGCTCTTTATCGCGGCATTAGATAATAAAACGTTGCGATAAAAGAGCGCAGCTACGACACTTTTCTTTTGTTTTTCTGTTGTTGGGTTTTTGGGTTGTGGGTGAGACACTCTCGGCTGACTTATCGATAGGCATGCGGTATGACCGTGCGAGGAATGCAGGCAAATGCCGTGTAAAAGGAGGTGTAAAAAAGCTGTCATACTGTAAAGTAATAATTATAGCCGGCTACTTGCACTTTTTTTCCACTGTGCAATGCCCCTTCATACCCGTTTCTCGTAGAGTAAAAGGGTATATTGTATTCGTGCAAAAGTATGCAACAGCCAGATGGAAGCATTTCGACCCTATAAATTATACATATTCTTAATCAGGGTCACCAGCCAAGTGGATATAGCCATGTTCCTCCGTCCGTCTGTCTGCCTGACCGTCCGTATAAACGCTGAGATCTCAGGAACTACAAAAGCTAAAAAGTTGGGATTACACACACGTATTCTTGGGCTTCCTTTTGTTTTATTCGGAATAGGCATTTTAAGATAGCGGTCGGCAGCATCCTATTCAGGGGCTGTCATATACGAAATATATACACAGCCCCTAAGTGCGTGACTCCGGGAAGTGTCGCCGAAGTGACGTCTGGAATTGACTTCGGCGACACCTCTGGAAGTCACTCAGAAGTGACTCCGGGAAGTATCGCCGAAGTGACGTCTGGAAGTGACTTCGGCGACACCTCTGGAAGTCACTCAGAAGTGACTCCGGGAAGTGTCGGGAAGTGACTTCTGCGAGCCGAATGCGATATAGCAGACGATCGTTACGCCTTCCGCAATAGAAAATGCTTGCAGGGAGCATCCCCGTGCAAATTACTTACAAAAATATAAAACAAAATGTCAAAAAAAAAAAATTAAAAAATAAAAGTGATGTTTTATCTTGAAAACCTCAAAAACATGGATTCCGCAAGCCGAAAGCATGTAAATGCCGTGTAGAAAGGGGTGTAAAATAACAGTCAAACTGTAAAATAATAACTAAAGCCTGAAAATGGCAATATATTCCCACAGTGTAATAGTGAATTGTGTACTTTTCGATTTTAGTATTTATAGGAGTTTATAAAAAGTAAAACTTACATAAAAACATAGTCTTAATATTAAAATTTAAATGCCACCTTGAATTTAGATTAAACAAGAGAGAACGCTATAGTCGGGTGCCCCGACCATCAGATACCCGTTACTCAGCTAAAGGGAGTGCGAAGGAGATGGAGATAAAAACTTTGATCCGCCGTAACTTTTTAACGAATGGTCCAATTTAAAAAATTTCTTCTACATTTCGATAGGTATTGATAAACACAATTAAACTGCATTTTTACTTTTCCGAAATATTGAAATTTTTAAAATCGTATATAAGCGATTGTGGGCGTTAGAGGGGGCGTGGCACCCTTTTGAAACAAACTTGCGCTGGGTAGGAACTCCTAGAATCTGCATGCAAAATGTCAATCTTCTAGCTTTTATAGTTTCCGAGCATTTTTCAAATCGGACCATTCGTTAAAAAGTTATGCGTGATCAAAGTTTTCTATCTCCATCTCCCTCGCACATCCTTTATTTGAGTAACGGGTATCTGATGGTCTCTTGTTTAGTTGTGTAATTCTGCCAAATTGCAGATAAATCGGGAGCTACCTAGGTAATAGATTGGAACCCTTTTCGTTTATCTATTTCTGAAGTGATAAACTAGATTTTAGGATCATTTAATTTTATTCATTTTAAAACTGTATGCTTTCAGAATGTATGCTTTGGGGCGGAATTTATCTTATGATTGGGGATAGCCCACGATTCACTTCAACTATGCTTACAACTTGGATCCGTGCACTTCTGTACGAAACTGTCAAAGAATTCGGGGAGTTCCGGGGGCTCAAAGCAGCAGCGAATCAGGGCCATTTTATAATGCGAATTTCACGGATTAGATCTACCCACTCCGTTCCAGGACGTTGACCATGAACTTTGAGTATTTTTAGCGCGAAACTTGGTTCCTCCGCACAGGTTGTTGTTGCTTCAGGTCAGCTGATGGGGCGACTAACGGGACGAAAGCTCGGATTCACTTGCCAGGGAGCTTTTTATGGCCATTGTCGCCACCTTATATCACAGGGGTCTTCACTTTTCGGCCTGGCCAAATGATGCCATTCGCACATTTTTGGACTGACACTCGCTTATGAATATCAATTCAGCGATTAATCCGTATTATCCTATGTCCGCTACTATTACTTTCGAAAGGCAACCGTCTTGGCAAACAATAATTGATCAATAAAGCCTACAAACTCGTAATAAATAAAACACAAACCGCACGCAGCGAGAACAACAAACAGAATGGAAAATGTGCTTGGTGAAAATGTGTTTTTCGCACTAAAGCTCCGCGCATTTTTGGGGTTTCCTCCACAAAGCTCCCCAGGGGAATTTAAGCAAAGCTTAGGGGAGACTTTGAGCTTTTCGCATCCCGCTTTTCATTCATAAAATCGTATTTTTTGGGCGCAAGAAGAGGGGGTCCGAAAATTCTCTGGCCTTCGCTAAGTTTACCGTTATGAGGCGTACAATTAAACACTCGACTGCAAAATGCAAAACAAGTACTTGACAATTCAGGAAAAGTACACTGAAAAGATTTATATTTTATTGGGACTTCATTTGTTTTATTTTTTAAAAGAATAAAATAATATTGATAATTTTGCTTTACAAAAGTTTTTGCTTATATTAAATATTTAAATTATAATTTATAATTTATTTCATTATTATCACTTAAAGAAAAACATTTTTTTTCCGTATAGTAAAAGAGTGCTTCACACGCCAGTCTCGTGGGTTGACAACTTTATTAAACCGAAATGGGTTCCTTCGATTTGGAAGAGGTGTTCGGGCTGGGAGGGCGAAGTGGACGTGCTTTATAGTTTCTTGACCGACGATGACGATCGATGATTTATTTGTATGTGCTGCTTATTTCTCTGACTTTTTGATTAATTACTGTGATATTCAAATATTCAAGTGTGTGGCTATAAAGGCGCAAATGTATGAACATGTGAATACAGAGGTGCTTCAAGAAGTAGAACCAGCTGTCAAAAATATCGTAAGCATGTTACAAGTTTTACAAATATTTTAATGAATTTTTAGTATAGTATCTGGAAGGTATCAAACGATATTAATGGGGTAACCTTTTATTATTTCATTGTGAAAATTTTATGAATATTTATGCAACATTTTAGGCACCTAAGCTATGGAATTTTTATGATCATCTGTATTCAGACCTGTGGATTACAAAGTACAAAGAATTCCACTTCGGAAAATTTCAGATACCACTGTATTTTTGTTCAAAAGATATTCTAGTGCTAAGTTCTGGACATATTTTACGCTTTGTTTACTTTTGTGGCCTGGGATTAGCGCCTGCTCGGTCCTATCTGAAAGATGAATTAATTAGTGCTCGGCTTTAATGACCAGTGATTGATGAGTGGGAGTGGCCCCGGGGGGCGAAAAGGCGAGGGGAGGTGCGCAGATGGGCAGATGAGCAGCTGGCCGAGGGTCACCGAACAGAAGCCAGTGGAAACTGGTTGACAGTCGGAACAGGCAGGAACATCATTTTCATATTGGCCAGCGCGTAGGAAAACATCCCAAGAATGTTTGGGCGATCTGGTTTCACTTGTTTTCGAGTGAGTACTCGAACCTTGATTTGATTCATATTCGCAAAACGAAAGACTCCAGAACACGAACTTGCTCTCGGGCGCTCTCCGCAAACACCGGCTACTTGTTGCTGCGCCACTTGTTAGCCCGACTTAAGCTCTCTCTCTCTGTCTTTATCTCTCTGCTCCGAGCTTTAACAGCGATCTTGGCCAAAACGCTGGATGTGGACTTCAGTCGGCTCTCAGACGTACTCGCGATAACTTGGGCCGGGGAAAAGCCCGCGATTCAGCTGTGGAACAAAACGAAACTGCGTCGCGTTCGCAATTACCAGCAATAAATAATTACAAATATATAAAAACCAACGAACTGGCCAGCGCCCATCTGCCACAGAGGATATATCACTCGATCCTCCTCGCCAATATACCATATAAAGTTAAACAACCAACGACCATCGGCACGTCCATTCAACCGTTCAGCGAAACCCACGCAAAACGACACAAAATCTCAAACACAAATCGTGATAAATTTTCGCTAAATTGTGCAAACGTTTTTCGACTAATTAAAATTTGACGTGCATACCAAAACTCCAACTTCGACAGCTTAAAAAGCGAAAAATATAAATTGCAAATAAGCAAAATTTTCGCGACGACACTTGGCAAGTGAAATAATAACAAAAATAAAAAAAAAGGGGAACAAAAGCGGCTAAAAACGAACCCACATCAAGCACACAAAATAAACGTAATTAGAACTGCGCAAATTACTTAGAACTGCAAAAAACATTTGTTTTTCCCCACACTAACGCACGAGGAATGCTGTTTTGAGGTGAGTCGACGATCGTTTTGTACAGTAGAACCACCCTAAAACCGCCAGCTAACGCCGTAGATGCTTCTGCCCTGATAACCAACTGAAACGGAATCGGATCTCCGGACTATCTATACTAAAACCCAAGCTTCTGTGCGATTCTTCCAGCGTTACTCTTGAATAATTCAGCCTCGGATCGCAATCGTAAGCGTAATCGCAAGAACGATCTGTTGTGGGCTTTACGACCCCCGAATAGTGTCCCAGTTACACACTTATGTGGGTGGGTGTGTGTGACTGTTCCAAATCCGTATATAGAATAGAGTCGGCCAACGCATTAGCGCCGATTGTGAGTCAGAGCTATAGTTGAAGTCTCTGATTGATCCGCTCAACCTTTCGCCCGATCTGGTTAATTGGAAGTCATTTGGCGGGTTCAGCCAAGAAGATCTCTTCGCCGTCTACTTTCTTTCCCCATTTCTTTGGCCGCTCTTTAACATTACCATTAACAAATACACTTAACAACCTTCGGCGGGTCTTTTGAATGGGGATGCAAATTAATAACCAATAGCCAATTCTAATGTTAATAAAAACTCGACCGAGTCCGCAAATGCGAGCGTCTTTATTGTTTGGGGCGGAAATAGAATTCTGAAGGCCTCGCTCAACAGAAAGCAAACATTTTTCAACGATGACTGCCGAGTTGAGTGAAAGTTTTGGCGTTTTCGAAACGAGAATCTTTGAAATCTTCTCCCTCTCAGCAGTCTATAAGTTTGGTTCTTACAAATTAGCCTTGCAAATGCGGAATTTACATTAGCTTTGGCTTTTAATACGATTAGGAATTTTATATTTATGGGTGTTGTGTGGTTTTTTGGCAAAATATACATAAGTAATTGGCCGAGCATCGGCCCATTTGAATTCAGGTTTAAAGCTATTCGTTATTCATTAACGGCTCAGAATCGAAAAACAAACCTTATCGCCAGGGAGTTAGTGCTCATTTCGAATCAGTCTCGAAGCAGATATATTCTAAGGTCCCGAGATAAACCGAAAAAAATGGATCCGAAGAAGACGTTAACCTGGTTCTTTGGCCTGACCTCGGTGCGCTATTCGCAGATCCTAATCGTGGTGGCGGGCGATCTGCTGGCCCTATCGAATCTCTATCCCAAGCACTCGATGTACATTTCGCGTCCTTTTCTGCTGTGGCAGGATCTCCCAGAGGAGGACAAACTTTCCCTGGACTGAGGCCCTCATCTCACTCGTTCTAAGACTTTTATATTTTTTTGTATTATATGTGCGTGGGAGACGTTTTATCGTCCGAAAGATTTGACCAAACCAACCTTGAGTTTCAATGCCAATGCCAGGCCCATGACGTCACTTGTATCTGGATGTGCTCGCTGCTGGCTAAATATACTTTATATATTGTATGTATACACATCGGTGTGTCTCTGAAAGGTGCCTTGGTAAACACCTCGTTCTCGTTTTGTTAGCTGCAGCTCAGGACCCCGAATGCCGCGTGAGCCTCTTCAAATGCCCGGCCAAATTAACTCGACTCCTCATTAAAGTCCAAAAATTCGAAAGTTTCGACCGCCGTCGTCTGGAAATAAACGTCAATTTAAACGAAGCCTCCGAGAGGGAGGCATTCAGGGTGGGGGGTTTTCGGTTGGCGGTCGGAAAAAAATTGAAAATTCTCAAAAAGCCGCTTTTGTTGATGTGGCCAAAAAAGGTCTACAGCCTTGCCTTGTATGCAGTCCTACGGCTTGTTTCATTTTCGTTTTTGGGAGTTGCGTTGCCTCCGTATTATCTTGTTTTCAGTTTTCAGTTTCCAACTCTCCGATATTTTCGTTCGTTTTTAGTTTTATTTTGCTTTTTTTTTTGGCTGCCGTTTTTGGTGTGCATGCGTCAAGGATGATTTGTATTTGTGCATAAGGCGATGCCAGCATTTCGATTTTCTGTATTTAATTTGTATTCGATTTCGTTTGTGACCCGGACCGGGGAGCTTCCTGCTTTGAGTCAGTGTCCGTGTCCGGCTTTTAACACGTACACCTACGACGCTTCTCGGGTTCAGTAATTAGTCACCGAGATCAAAGACCGCCGCCGACGCCGACGACGGAGTGTACATTCTCGGAACTAATGCAACTGTTTGCTTAGCACCAACAAGCATAGCTTGGTTCTTAGATAATTCTAGTGTTCGTTTTTCAGTCATAATTTGTTTTTAAACATTAAAATCCCATTCTAGATAAAAATCTAATAAAATTTTGTTGCAATGCTATAACTTTTACACTACAGCACATAACAACATGTTTATTTTCTCGTATTTAGGTCAGTTTCTTGAATTTTTAACTGACAAGTGCAAGTGGGTACTTGTTATTTAGCGAATAAAACCCATATTTAAGTATGCACTTTTTTGGGGAAGCGAATTATATTTAAGAACTTGTTTTCCTGAATTTTTTTTTTAATTTATATTTTTTGGAAAGGTCAATGTCATCGGTGGTTGCTCTTGTGCTGAAGAATTCGCGCTTAATTTTTATAAAGAAAGTGTATTAAAGAGACCCGGGCAACGCTGTCATTGTCCTAATATGTCGGACAGTTGAAATTTATTAGTAATCAAAAGCCACAAAAATAAATCGCAAACTGACTTAAAGCATTCAAAGACCATAAATATATCAAGTTCCAACAGAGCTTTTGTAAGGCCTAATTTAAGGATTGTATCAAATCACACATTTTCTTCCCGATTCATTGGAACCAGCTTGATTTCCATAACCCACTCCCTGGTGACCTTACGCGATCGATTGGAAGTGCGAGGCGCTCTTCGCAGCTCGCCGCACATTCACTTTGGCATCGTGCAGCTTTAATTGCCCATGGGGGTTCAACAGCCAAACAAAAGCCGGGCAAAACTCACAAAATGGCTTTAAAAATCAATGTCTGTCAATGTCTGTGGCGCAATCGGCCTGAAAGCGCCGTCGATCGCTGATTGTTTAACTGTTGACTTAAGCGGCAGTGTTAACAAATTATTTGATTTGGTCGCATTTGATTTAAAAGCCCAAACATCGCCGGCTGGCATTGAGACTCTTCGGCGGAAGTCGGATCGCGGGAATTGAATCGAATCAAATTGAATCAAATCGGAATGAACGGAACGGTAAATGGCATACGACACTTCATAGAGCGCTGCGGAAGTACTTGGCTCTCAATTGGGTTTATTTTTGCCCCATCCCCCGCCAATCGGCGGCATTTGACACGCTCGTTTGGCTTAATTTGGTTTTTGGTTCGGTTTTCGGGGCCCAGAGTTCAAAAGCTGACCTTTCTGGGGGATATCAAGTGTCGCCGGGGCAAAAAGCAGGTGCAACTCGACGCCCTGGGAAACAGGTAAACGACGACGGCAACTCTGGGAAGCTGGAAGAAAAGAGCTCCAAGCCGAAATATATTTCGGTTTCTTCTTTTTTTTATTTGGGTTTCGAGAAGGCTTTCAATGAAGTCATTAAATTGATGTATTGGCTGATAGTTTCGCCTGTTTCGCTCTGTTTTGGGGCGCTTTCATCTCCGAGCCAATTACGAATTTCTAAGAATCGGATCGCCCCCAAGACGTGGGCCGTTCATCATGATATCATTTGGCCGGGCGAGCGACACTGCTACATGCACATAAATTAGATGTAAAACAGGCCAAACAGTCAAAACTGAATCGATTATGGCCGAAATGTTAATGAGACGCGATTTGGTCTATGACGGGTCGTCGTCATCATCATCATCATCATTGCCTTATCACGTACAGAGCGGCCCCATCTGAAGTGGACTTGAGTTGGACTGTAATCGAGTGTCGTATTCAAAGCAAAGATTTGTAACGCTTTCATAACGCCATAAGTCCCAACTACCACCCCCCGCGAATTACCCAATGAGGGGCACAAAAGGCCGTGTTGAAAACGTACTTTGTATGCCAGTCCGACAAGTAAGCGACTTTGATTCGCGGTCAACAACTGGGAATGGAACCGAATCGAACTGCATATCAATGAACTGCGGAGGCAGTACTGCTGGCCAGCCAATCGAAGAGCCGTCGAATTCGAATCTAACGCGGATCAATTAAACGATCCGCGAGCTGGAATTAGCATAAATTACGATTTCAGCTACCGCTAGCCGGACGATCGGCATTAATTACCCCGGGAAAGTGAAACCATCCGGGGGTCTCTTATGCAAGGCGGAAGATGGCGCATGCACCGTTGGTTATGACATGCACTACAGACCCAAAGAAGGCAGCATTGGATTTGGCTAAAAACAGCCATTCAGCCATCTCAGCCATTTCAGCCAAGCATCGCGTGCAAGTTCGCCCTTTTCCCACTCAACGAGACACTCGATTTCCTTGGCTCCAGGCCGTTTTTATTTTGTTTTTTTTTTTCCTGGCCGAGATGAGTCGGCTGACCTTTGCCACCGCGCTTGATTCGTTGCCGGAAACTTTTGACGCTGCCTCCTTTATTGATTTCCCAGGGAAAGCTTCGTGTTTCGTGGATTCTCTGGCCAATAATTGCGCACAATTGTTGGCTAAATTCAGCGATAACGAGCGAAGAATTCGACAGTCCGATGGAGGAGATGGGTAGCAAGGAGTGGCCAAAAAATGAGAACGTTTCAAACAGACGTGACAGCTTAAACAGTACTTTAAAATCGTATAAAAATAAACGGCACATAAACGTTTTCTTAATCATACAAAAAATCGAATTTTGCACCAATATACTTTAAATTTCATTTTTGAATTAATCTACATATTTTTGGTGTCTGGTTTCCATCTCCCCATCTGTTCGCTTTTTAAGCGATTGTTGACTTATGATCGATCGATCGATCTGAACTCTCTACCTAATTGATTTCCGTGCAGGTTAGGAGTCGCACAGCCCACCAGCTATGACATGGATAGAATCCAGCGCTCCATCACCTTCGATATACTTACACTCCCAGGGCTAATTATGAGTTCGAAAAGTGAAATCTTTTGTCTTCTTTCTCGCCCTCCGGCAGTCTCAGGCCGCTCTGGCATTATTAATCATGCAAAAAATAAAAAAAAAATACCCAGACATGTAAACGAAAAAATTGATTTACATTTTTCGCTGGCTGGGAACAGCTTGCAATTATGCTATCGACACTTGCCGCTCGGCACACGAAAAAGTTGCCACGTAACGCCGCACAGATTAACCTTCTAACATACATAGTGGTTCCAGTTTGAGTCGCAGTCCGAGTGTGAGATACTAGCCACAAAGGGGAAGCTTCCTTTAAGATTCGGATACAGTTTAGCTGGCTAACAAAGCGTGAAAACGACAGCGGAGCAGCAACAAAAACGATGTTAGACAATGTGACCAAGTTTGGCATTGGCAGGCGGAGCCAGAGGCGTGGGCCAAAAGGGGTTAAAGAACGATTAGGGAAAATATTTAAATTTTTGGAATTCCGAAAATGTTGTTCTTCAGATTTAAGATTTTAAAAACATGATTGGTTTTATGTAAATTTATTTGGATCATTTTTATTAAAATCATAAAAGTTTTGTATATATACATATATTCCTAATTAATTTAGTTAAACCCCACCAAAGTTCTATTATAATTCCGATCCCCCCTCTTTGCCGCCCATGTGCGCGATTGTGAGTGGGCGCTGGACAATCGCCAGACAATCTCCGAGCGGGAACTTGTCATCGTCATCATCTGGCGAATGCCACACGTACATAGATGCCCGCATAGATGTCTCTAAATGGGAGTAGCAATTACTAATTTCCTTAGTAAAGCGCTCGGCTCAAGGGGAATTTAGTTGTAAGATCTGACAATACCCACAACGCCAGTCGCCAGGGTCTCAGGCCCAGTCGAACGCATACTGGTATTGGCCTGGCCCAAACTCTCGATTCGCGATTCCCCCGTCCCGATTTGAGACTCCTCCTGGCCCAAACAAAGACAGCGCCGGCGCGTTCTTTGGCTGTCCACTCGTCTCGGACGTCTGGAGCACTGGGTATTGGGCATTGGGTATTGGGTATTGGCCAGTCGGCCCGCTGAGGCAGCAGCGGCATTCACTCACAGATGCCTCGGCATAGATATCGAAATGCAATTAAGTATTTGCCAAAGTCGAAGACGCGAACGAGCGCCACCAACAAAGCGGCGGAGCGGCGAGGCACGCATGGAAAAATGTTTCCATCGCTAGACGACGTTGTCCAGTTGGGGCTCCTTCGGCTCCGCCGCTCCAGAGGGAGTAGCATCCAGAATTCAGCATTCCGCGCCAGTCGGCGGGTGGCGGGTGGACGGGGCTGCTCTGATCTTTGCATAACATGGACTTTGAATGGCCACAGGGCTTGGCCATACTTACAAATTGGACTACACCTTCATTTTCACTTCTATGCGAAAGGCCGCGCTGGCCGTTACACTGAGGCCAAAAAGGGTGGGCACTTGTAGCCAAATAAAAGTCATACAATTTATTGAGAAAATTTCTTAGTTATTCCCATCTTAGACTTTCTTATAAGCAACTACTAGGATAATTTCGGAATGACATTTTTTAAAGTTGTTTCCTAGATTTATATAAAGTACAAGGAAATATTTGTTTAAAATAATCCTTTGTTAAAACACATTTGTTTAAAATAAAAATTTTAAATAAACAATCATTAAATTTTAATTAAATCAAATAAATTGTAAAAATGTAAAGGACTAATTTTAAAAATATTTTGAAACGGCTTACTTTCACAGAAAATATACATAAATATCCAAAATGGACTTAAATATTATATGAAGGAAAAAGACACCATTTATTCCATTAAATGCTTTTGAAATGAAAGTTAGAAAATATACTTTGCTTCGGATGCTAAAAAGTAGTTTGAAACAAGAGAGAACGCTATAGTCGGGTGCCCCGACTATCAGATACCCGTTACTCAGCTAAAGGGAGTGCGAAAGAGATGGAGAAAAACTTTGATCCGCCGTAACTTTTTAACGAATGGTCCGATTTAAAAAATTTCTTCTACATTTCGATAGGTATTGATAAACACAATAAAACTGCATTTTTACTTTTCCAAAATATTGAAATTTTTAAAATTGTATATAAGCGATTGTGGGCGTTAGAGGGGTCGTGGCACCCTTTTGAAACAAACTTGCGCTGCGTAGGAACTCCTAGAATCTGCATGCAAAATGTCAATCTTCTAGCTTTTATAGTTTCCGAGATCTCAGCGTTCATACAGACAGACAGACAGACAGACAGACAGACAGACAGACAGACAGACAGACAGACAGACAGACAGACGGACAGACAGACGGACAGACGGACATGGCTAGATCGACTCGGCTAGTGATCCTGATCAAGAATATATATACTTTATGGGGTCGGAAACGCTTCCGTCTAGCTGTTACATACTTTTGCACGAATCTAGTATACCCTTTTACTCTACGAGTAACGGGTATAAATACTTTGTTTAGCTTGATCCTGAGGTGTTTACCAGTGATCAACCGAAAGCGTGAGGCTTGTTTTAGGCCAGCTCCGTTCTCCCAGTGGACCTGGCCGATCTCCCTCGGCTGGCTAAACCCCAGAGGTCAGATCGACTCCGCGGCGCTGAGAACACACGCAAAGTGGGCAAAAGTCGAGGCGTTTTGTTTGGTTTGCTGCGCACTTTTGGTTTCACTTGACAGGGGGCTGGGGTGCGGGGGGAATCGGCTGGCCAACTTGGGTGGAGTTCTGGGGTTCTATGCTTTCCTATCATTACCGCCGTGTTAAAGTTCAAGTTCAGAACGATTATTTTATGGTGTTTCGAGGGAGGGGGGATCTTAAATTGTTTACTCTGCGCGCTAATCTAATCCCATTCCCACATGTACGGGCGTAATTCGTATAATTTCGCATAATTCCGCCTGAAATTAGCTACTCCCCAGACGCATGCAAATGCGAGCTGTGAATGGAGTAGTGGCTGGACACCCCGGCAGTTGCTTTTTAGTTTAATTGAAAGATGTGCGGCCATGGGTTGGATGGGAGAATGGGTGGGGAGGTGGCCAATTGCAATTGCAGCCTGACTCCAAGCCAAGGTCCGCCAAGCGATACAAATTTTATGTTTATTACACCTTAATAATGCGTGTTTACAAACAAATCACGTTCATGGCGCAATCAACGCTCGGCAATCGGCATCGGGAATCAGACATCGGCATCTGGCATAGCATTGCGCTTAAGCGCCTGCGTTCCAACCCATCCTATTCCATCCCAACCGATCCCAACCGATCCCATCCGATCCAGCCTGGACTGGACTCAAATACAAACTCGAACTCGGCTCCCATCAACGTCAGGGCGCACGCATGCGCACTCAAATTATATGGTAAAGGATTTTTATTGGCAGCTCGCAGCGTTTTTCCCCTGCAATGGACTGCATCGGTGCCCGTGATCAGACAGACGACGTGGCCATTGATGTCTAGCCGGGCGATTGTGCTCGTTAGAGCGTAAACTCAGCTCCAGAGTCTGGTTCTTATTGGGGGAATGGGACAGGGAACAGGGAACAGGGGCTACGGTCTGGACCTGGGTCGGAATCATCGCCTGTAGGACTGCGGCCTGTAAGTAAGCCAGTAAGTGAATGAGCAGCGGCATCGTCCTTGTCCAGGTGCCATAATAGACTGGCATTTTCCACACATTACCGAGCTTCTCTTACTCTATGAGAAAATATCAGAGGCTTCTTATTCAATTTAAAAACTGTGAATGAAATCAAAATCTTAAAAAAGTCAAAGTTTTAAAATACTTAAAACTTAAATACTTAAAACTTAAAAACTAAACTTAAAAATACTTAAAAACTGTAAATGAAATCAAAATCTTAAAAAAGTTAAAGTTTCAAAAAACTTATATTTCAGATGTCTAAGCTTCCTCAACCATTTATAGCTATTTCAACTCGTTAATCAAGGAATAAGTGTTAAAAAATTGCTCATTCTTCTTCTTACTTCTTTTACAAGAAAAGTCTTAAAAATGTGTAAGCCAGAATAATAAAAGATTTAAAAAAATCCTTACCATCTTAAGAGGGTATCCAATATTTTCCAAGTCCAAAGATTCCTTAAAAGTCTCTCGTTTCGCAGTCTTTGCATGTGCTCGCTTGGGTGGGTGCGTGTCCATGGAGCAGTTGTCTAAACTGGAAGTTCTTCTGGGGGACCTGGGACTCGTTAGGGGACGGGGAACGGACTTTGGAGCAGACTGGAGCGGAGCAGTTGGAGAGTCCTCGGGCATAATGCATTGTTTAAATAGAGTTTGCACTCTCGTATTCAAATATGAATATTATCGCGTTTGCTTAATCGCAATCAATATTTCTACGGTTTTCTCCTCCCAGGCACTTTTCACTCACCTCCGCCGCCACGTCCCCCGCAGAATTTGAATCTCGTATGCAGCCCAAGCACCCTCGTCGTGTGTCTATTTTTGTAATTGTCAGAGAAAAAATGAAAAATACAAAAATAAAAACCCAACTCGATCGTGCCCACTCCCGAAACTGAGGAATCAGTCAGAATCAGAATCAGTCGGAGTTGGAATCAAAATCAGAATCGGAATAAGAATAGGAATTAATTGGCAATTATTCTTTTGACTGCTGTCATGTTTATACTCTTCCGAGAGGTATATTCCATTTAGATTTTAATCATTTATTTTTCCAAGTATTGTTACTTAAAGCTAAAAGTATTTAGTGCTTACACGAAATATATTTACTCTGCATTTTCAAGTCTTTAATCTATTTATATTTTAATATTTCCTTCTTGACGCCTCTTAACAATTGGATTTACTAATTTGTTTTTAATAATACTTTCTCTCACCAAGTCTACACTCGCATGTGTACAGTACATAATGATTAAAAACGAGTTAAAAAAACCCTTAAGCTAGAAAAACAAACTGGGCTAACTGACGAGCTGCAAACTAAACTCAAGTGCTGGCTAATCGCAGGAAAAATAATCAAATAACACAAATAATCAAAGAAAATGAGGTTAACTCAGAGAATTATTTCTTCTTGCAGCTGAAAACCATTTAAACTGCCTAGCTTAAATGGGAAATGCGCAGAGTTCAAACAGTTCGATGAGACTGTCACACAAAGAATTTACTTAGGGTTGCGATTCTTCCGAGAGAAGACCCGACAGGAGAGAGAAAAACAAAGACAGAGACACAGAGAAAGCAGCACAGAGACCAGCCCAAGGATATTTAAGCGATCTCAATCCCCAAGATAAGATGCAAACTGGAGCGGCGAATGGAGGACCACGGGTCAGCTTTAATCGGGATGTGCACGTGAAGCGGATAGGTCAGTGCGTTGTTAAGGAAACACCTCCCCCGACAATCGTAACCCCAATTCACTAGCAAAACCAGAAATTAAAAACAAATAACCAACACGCGCAGCTTTAGCCAAATGAGAGCGGCGAACACGAACCCACAAAGATCTCTAATGACAAACTAAGCAAAAAGCCAGCCATAAGAAACCTCATCAATAACCAGCTAACAACAAAAAATTACTAACCAAGTGGCATCTGAAAAACTTACCCGTATATTTGTGTGAGTAGGCCAATTTTGGTCAATCAATGACGGACAGCACTAACAGCCCACGCGAATGCGAATGCAACTCATTAACTTGGCCAGCCAGTTCTGGCCAAAGGCTTTCCACCATCGATTGCATAACTGCTGTGTGTGCTGGAGACGCTCTTCAATTTTCTAGCTTTTCAAATTTGGCCAAGAATATGAAAAACAAACAAGTGAGCTATACAATATACACATATGTGTGGAAAAGAAAAAGAAAGAAAAACAAAGAGAAACCTCGCGCTGGTGGGCGAATAAAGCCAGAACGAATGCCAAAAGCAATAAAAATAATAATAATAACAAAGCCGCCCCAACAATAAAATGTAGTTTACCTTGAGAATAATCGCACACACAGACCTGACTTGGCGTAAACTAGAGAGCTCCCATATAACTATTTTAAATAAGTTGATATTTTATAAGGCATTGCAAGTCGCAAGTCGCCGAGATGCTCGCTCTCGCCGCCCGGGTATCATTTTGCACATCATCTCTATGGGGAGGAGGGGGGTTTTTGGAGGGAGGTGGACGGACCCACTGCATCTGGACGCTTTGTCTCCGCAGCTTCGACTATATTATTATTGTTATGATTATGTCTGGCAGCCGCGACAGCAACGACATGGGATTTATTTCATAGCCGGATTGAATTTATGGCCACTGTCGGGAATGAAGAAATTAAAAATTGATTATGACTAAACCGGCGCAAATGTTCATTTTTTAGACGGTCCCCCCAATTTAGAACTGCCAGCGACTGGCATTTCCTTATGCTAGTCAAGTCATTGGCCATTGGCCATTGGCCATCGGTGCCTAATTAACCACAAGTCCTTTTGGCCAGCTGCCGATTGCCATCGCGGTGCGTAGATCTCTAAAATGGTTATGAACCAGATTTCCTAGTCGCGTAATTGCATCAAATGGCTGCCATTTCGGTTAACTCGTTTAATGGACGTAAACGAACTTAATTGCAATTTCTGAATTGGTTTAGGCAAATGCAACAAGTCGAGGTCGCCGAAATGTAACGTGATTAGGTAATCTGCCGGCCAGGCACGATTCATTAGCTTTGTGATTTCTGTATGGTTACGAGGCCACCGAAAACATGAGCCAAGAGGATTGAAGAGTGATTTAAAGCAGAGGTAATAGAGGCCTGATTAAAGTTGTACCACATGTCAATTAAAGCCAAGTTCTTAGCAGACTTAGGGCCGTTTTCTCGACCGTTAGTTAAACTTAAAGTAGGGTTTAAAGTTTAAAATTCTTTTTCTAGTCCGCAAGATAAATATAATGTACGTTTTTAAGGTCTAAAGCTTTATTCAAATTTAACATGCGGACAAGAAAACGGCCCTAAATCTTTTAAATTTAACCGGCGGACGAGAAAACGGCCCTTAGCAGGTTGAGTTATTGCCAACATTTTCTTATTTAAATTAAAATGAGTATTATATTTTTTTCTTAAACCAAAATTAAAGGATTTTGTGACTGCAATTAGCCAAGTAATCCCCCAAGTGCCATATTATCTCTGCAGTCACAAGCGCTTAGAGTAATTTAACCCGGAGTAGAAAATTAATTTCGGTCTCTCTCTCCTCGCTATCTTTGCATGCAAATTAAAGCAATTATGTGTAAAACACAGATTTAATGATGATTTAATTTTGACGCAACAAAGTGGCGAGATAAAGCGAAGACGACGTCGGCAATCTGGTTGCTTGCGGAAAATTATTCGCCCGCTGGGCACAAGGCAACATTTTTCATTTTTCATCCGCAAGTTAACATGTGAATTTTCTGCTAAATTACAGTGCAGTCAAAAGTCAAAGTTGTTGACTGTAAAAAATCAACTAAAAGACGACTAATTTCAGCCAATTTGAGAGCTGAGCTGAGTTTCAGCGAGCTGTTACAGGTGAGCCTCGCTTGTGATCAACCTTGCGGAGCGACAAATTTGGCCAAGACGAGTCGGGTTGGCAGCTGTTCTGCCTTGGGCCTGGTGGATGCACTTAGCCAGCTTTTTCGAAGGCGGACAGGTGACGAAAGGCAAGGGAACAATGCCAAAACGAGGCTCCTTTGTTCGCAATCGTAAACGAAATCGAAATCGGGCCAAGTCGACGTCCTTCTAGTTGTCTGTCTGTCTGTCTGCCTGATTTCCTCTATATATAAGTACATGTATGATGACATAATTTCAGATGGCTGATTAAAAAGGCGTTACGAGAACAAGTCCACCTTTGACTACGCGAAAGCGTAGGCCCCTTCCCGATTGCGTAATGCTGCCCTCTCGCCACCCCACTCGCCCAGACATTTCCCCCATTATATCTGCTCTCTAATGAGCTCGTACACCTTTAATTAATTAATTTAATTAGCCAAAGAGCCAGTCATTATTATGAGATTTGCTACGTTTCCTACTCTCCATAATAATTTGTGTTCGCAACTGAGCTCCACATTTGATTTGCTTTCAGAGTGCGAACTTTGTCAAAGCGAGCTAAAACCAACTGGTTTTTTTTCTGTTTGCTCTCGTGCCATCTTTGGGTCTTTTGGGCTGGGAAGGCTGCTATTAAAATGCCATTTATGCTTTTTATTAATTCATCATTTGCATATGTTTTGTCTTACTTTTATTTTATTTGCCTTTTTGCGTTGCGAAAGAAACTTAATTAATAAGTCTCATTTTTGGCTTGCCTGCCCACAAATTTCGCACTATTTTCTCGCTGTTATATTTCTGTTGTATTTTTTATTATTACTATTTTTGCCAAGTGACATTGGCGTAGGCAGTCGCAGTTGTCGACTGGCTGCCCGTTCGCCGGAGATTGCTTTCAGTCGCTTTTCATATTGGACTCAGTCAGGTTCTTGGCCCGCCTGTCATTATCGTTCTAAAGCTGAAGTGTTCGGTGCTCTGTGACACGATATACATACATATATAGGCAAGCGGGACGCCTCGGGGCATTTACATTCGCATATCGAGAACCTGGGTAAATTCGGCTAAATGGAGTTGTCGATCATCCACTTGCCTTCGCCTACAAATCCTCGTGTGCCCAACTTCAATTGTCGCAAACAGAAAACAGAAAATCACTTGGAATTGCAGACGATTGCGTCATTTGTTTATCGAAATGTGTATTGAAATGAGTCGCAGATTATTTTTAGAGCTCTTTAACTCTTTTTCGTCGAATGGCTGGGCTTACCTTTATTTTATTTTCGGTGATTTGTTGTTTGTTTACCCGCTCTCTCGCCCGATAGCTTAGCTTTAGCTATATCTGTATCTGTAGCTGTTGCTGTTGACAGCCGCTTAGGGGGAGAAACAAGTTTGTCGCCTCAGTCTTTTGAATCGCCTCCATTCTTTAGCGAAAGTTCCCATTCGTATATTTGTTTTGAAAGCCATGCGGCAATGGCCAGCGAACAATTTTAATTGGCCACGGCCGCAGTTGCATTGGCGGAGTTTCGAGCAACACGCTGATTTGCATACCACGGGCTGCCCCAAGGACGCGGCGCCGCTTTTGAAGTGATTTGGTCCTGGGTCCCGCCAGTCCCTAGACATCCCGATTAGCCGAGGAGCATTAAATTATTTTCATACGCAAAATAAATGCGACCTGTCCCCGGGTAAAGCCCAGATAAAGCCGAACGTCAGCTTGGCGATCTAGGCCCTTAAATGAAATCGAAAGTGCGCCCGGTTAATTGAAATACCCCATGGCAACCTACGCAGATCCTTAGCATGCCAGACCTAGACATACACTGGAGAAAAAATACCCCATCTTTAAGGAATACTTAAATCTATTTACATAAATAATTTTAAAAATTCGAATCTTTCTAATTTCTGATGAAAAACATTTCCACTTTTAATAGAATCGATTTAGTTTAAATAATATAAATTTAAAACATTTCAAAATACTATATTATTCTTAGAACGCAAATATTTTTAAATTAAATAAAATATATTCATATAAATAATATTAATATAAATAAAACAGATCTCAGAACTGAATAATTTCATGATTTCTCTAAGAATTCTTATTCTTCAATTTCTCTGAGTGCATGCCTACACCAGTAGCGAGAGGAGGCAGGAATGCGGGTGAGCTCCCATTTAGCCAACTTGGCTCGACCTTATCTTGTCACTGACATGGCCAGCGGGGGATAAAGCATTTTTGCCAACTAAAACGTTTTGCCATCGACGGGGAACGAAGGGAAGGGGGAGGAGGTGGCTCTTCGACTTTGTGGTTGTGGTTGCCTTAATGAAGCGGACTGGAGGTCGCAACTCCAGCAACATCATCTTCGCCAGACAATTACTGCGTGGCTATTATTAAACTAAAGTAAAGCAATAACCATCGACCCGCTCCTGGAAGCGTTTTGCGGCAAGTGAAAGTCTTGCCACAAAAATCGGAGATTTCATTATTTATATGAGCCGAATTTCGACTTATTTCTGTGGTGCGTGGCTCACAAGTTGGTCAGTGTGTTTGGGGCAAAGTCGCCAAGCCATCACGACAGTCAAATTATGTGCAGCTCCCCAAAAAATGGAAAAGAAAAAAAAACCGGAACCGAAACCGAAACGAAAACCTGGCAGGCGCCCAGAGGCAGACCAGTTGGAAAAGTGGATCAGATGCTTTATCGCCACCTTTCCGAAAGCAGCGAAAAAGGTTATTAAAACTCGCAGCTCCTTCTGGCCTCGGACCGCAAATCGCAAATGGCCAATCGCAACTGGCATTCCATGGAACTGCCCAGGATGGTCTGGGCAATCACAGAGCCCGCTGGAGGTGGTGTGGCCACGTTAAGTGGATCAATGATTAGATTAATGAATGGCTCTCAGCGCCTGGTAATCAATCAAATGCTGCACTCGCCCCGAGATCATTGTCTTAGGGTCTTGGGAACTTGGTACTGTTTACGGTTAGCCCGACATTGATGCTGTCGCTTAGTGCGAATTTATGTTTTCCTGTTGCCTCCAAAAAAGTACAAAAAAAAAAGCAGCAACGAGAAAGAAACAAAACGCCGCTGGCTGGCAAATGAAACCTTGTAAGTTGGCCAAGACTAGTGAGCCATCATGATGGTGCAGCGATCCAACTTTTCACCTTGACACATATCGCATGACAGCAGATTGCAGTCGGAGATGTGGATGTGAATGTGGATGTGGATCCCCCCCGTCCACCAGTCAGTGAAACATACAGTCTCGCTGAGACCCGAAGAATGCTCCCTTTATCCCCAGTCCAATTTTCAATCCCATTTCCAATCCCATTCCGCTAAACCAATTTGGCACACGACACGCCCAGCTCTGTCATTATTCATTGTTGTTTGAATTTCGATTAGACATCGGTGTCACTTTGCCATTTTGCAGTACGAATCAAACGAATGTGGGAGCGGTTCTTGCTCCATTGCTCCGTTGCTCCGCGAATGTGACAGGTTGTGCAGGTGAATGGACAAAGCTGTGAGGAGGGAGGGCCTAGGGGCGGGAAAGGGGCAGGTGAAGGGGATGGGGAAAGGGGCCAGGTGGGGCAACAGAAGTCCAGTTGATCTCGGGGCAAGGTCAGCGCAGAACAGAGATGCCTCCGATGATCTGAGATCTCGACACTGAGCGTCAAGTTCTGAGATGTGTGAGCTACACGGGGAAAAATATGTCTTATTATATCAGGTTTTAAAATTAATAAAGAAAAGGTTTAAGTGTTTACCACCACTCATGAAATTTGATCTTAAGATAATTAATTTAGAACCTAGGCTAGAACCTGTTGGGAATTTTAGTAATGACTAAATGAATTACCATACGTCTTGTAATAAATTTTAATTTAATAATATGTGAGAAAATGAAAGTAAAAAATCTAGAAGATGATTTACTCTTAATTTTAATCACATTTCTTCCTGTGTAACTCGAATAGAGTTGGCCGGAAAGGGGGCTGACTGGCCGAGTGGAGAGATCACGCATCTCGATCTCGGCTAGCACATCTCGTTCTGGCCACGATGATGATGCTCGTTTCGGCACGTTTTTCTTGGCGTTTCTGTTTTGTTCTCGTGGCCCCTTTGCTGTTGTTTTCGGCGTATTAAATAATAATGATTATGAAAAAAGTGAGGAAGTGGAGGAATCTTTATGAGAGATAGATCAACTGGGACCGCAGTTGGCCATTAGCGCTTACAGCGTCCGATTACAGAGCAGGTATCGCATGGGTATCGGGAGGTATTCGGGGGTATCGAAGTCCAGCTAAGGCATCTCGGGTAGAGAGACAGACGTGGGCCAGATCCATTGTCAGACGGCCAGTCTCGCAACTCTTGAACCGAATTGGTCTGGACCGGACGGGCTGCCTTATTTAGCAGCTGGCAAGTGTGAATTGGCCACAGCTGGCTGCCAGATATTACATCATCGGGCCGGCTAATGTGCTAATTTGTCTTTACATGAATGCCAACTAGTTCGCGGAACAGCCTCTGCAATTGTATGTTAATCCCGGGCTTATTCTTCTTCTCTATCCAACAGGCAAGCATCCCAGTGAGTACGAGTCGGACAGCCAGCCGAGTTACCACCAGTTGCCCAAGGACATCGATCCCGAGGACATTCGCAAGGAGGCCGCCCTGGTGATCGCCCAGGCGGGCAGGCATCACAGCAAGGCCGAGAACGGCGATCATATAGCCAATTTCCGGGCCAAGCAGAGGCGCCAAAGTCAGCCCTCAGACTTCAACTCGCTGCCCACGCGACGCAAGAAGGGCAAACCGGTAGCCCGAAGCGCCAGTGACGCCTCCACCAAGAGCACCGCCAAGAGCAAAAGGCCCTCGATCTTTGGGCTCTTCAGTCGCAAGAGCGACTCGAATGTCAGCCAGTTGGACAGGGATCCGCGATTCGAGGACGGCGGCGCCAGGCGTTTAGTGCGCAGCAAGAGTGATGTGGGCAGCAGCAAGCTAGCCAGGAGAGCGGAACAGGATAAGATCAGCAGCCAGTCCAAGCAGCAGCTGAGTCCGATTATTGAGCAGGCGCAGCGGGAGGATTTCTTTGAGAAGGACTACTTCCGGGAGCGGGAGCGCCGCAAATCAGACGCCGTCACGCCGCGCGAAAAGGATGAAGGTGGTCGCGGTCTGAGCGAACTGCTGGCCCGCAGACGCTCACAGGCGGAGCTAGACGGCCCACTGCTTCAGGGACCATCTTCCATATCAGCGGGCATTCGTGACCGCATCGAGACACTGCAGGCCAAGTCCGGCGAGAATATGCACAGCTCCCAGCAGCCGGCGGAGCGTCTGCCGCTGACCAAGGGACGCACCGTGGACGGTTTAGTTAAGCGGCTGTCCATGGAGCGCTTCTCCCCTCAGCCGGCGATCAGTCAGCCGGCCTTCTCGTACATCAGGCCCAACGAGGGCATCACCTATGCCCAGCTGGATCTGAGCGAGGATCAGGTACGTCGTTCTTCGCCCTTGGATCGGGATGTTCGCACTCCCCAGAGGGAGTTTACGCCGGCTAGACCGCCAAGAGCCAGCGATGTGAGGCAAAGCTACTCGCCTCCGAACTCCCAAGGAGTTCCTTTGGCTCCTCTGGCCAACAGCCGGCCCAGTCACTCGAATTCCCACTCCCATTCACATTCACCCTCGCCCTGGCAGCAGCTGAGTCCTCGCAATCTGAGCGACGAGGATGAGGGTTTGGGGTATGAACCCCGGAAGGTCTACTACGAGGAGGAGTTTCCCTCCCGCCGGGCAGAAGCTCCCATTGTGCCGAACATCAGAAGCGTGAGTCCATCGCCCTACCTGGATGAGTTGGGTTACCGGAGGGCTCAGCTGGAGACGCGCATCCTGACGCGGCGATTTGGTGAGGGAGCCACCTTGGAACGTCAGTTGCCAGGCAGACCCACTCCCGAAAGGGAGCCAGAACCTCGCTTCCATCGTCCAGTGCGCCAGGAGCTGTCCAACGAGTATCCACCAGAGCCGAGGAACCAGGTGGACCACCCGAGTGGCTCCACGCTGCCCAGGATGGAGAAGACCTCGCGTTATCGGCACACCAAGTACTACGATGACGGACATGGAGGGGTGAAGGAGACCTATGTAAGGGAAACACAGCGAGATGGACAGGTGCGGGAGTCGCGACATCGCGAACGCATCGGGGAACGCGAGCGGGACTACAACTCGGCGGATCGGCTGGAGCAGGAGCCCAAGAGCCTGGACTCGCAGCTGACGGATCAGTACCGATCCTCGCCAGAACTGCGAGCCCAGCAGACGCAGCAGCGGGAGCATCGGGAGCAGCGGGAGGACCACTGGCAGAGCAGCCTCAAGCGAGACAAGCTGCAGCAGCGCAGCTTCGACAAGGGCGACTCCGGGATCGAGAACGATTTCCGCAAGGAGTCCTTCAACGGAGACTTGACCACAAGGTAAGGGAGAGGATTGTTATCAATGCTTTTAAACCTTTTTTTGAGGTATCATGTACGTATTTAAATGGATTGATTAACCAGCTTTCAAAATATTTGATTAGAACTGTTATAAATCGAAAGACATTTAATCAAACAATAATGCTAGATTTTGTTAGTTTATTTTATTATTATTTTTTTTATTTTATTTTACTAATTCAACATTTTTTAAAAACTTAATGGTATTTTTATTTGATTGATTTTTATCTTTTGACTACAAAAGAAAATAAAGTGTTATTTGTTTTCCAAACTCGATAATTCATTGTAAACAAGAGGAAAAAGATTAATATTTCTGTCATTAAATAACAAAAATCAAAATAGTTATTTTTAAATAAAAATTGTATAAGTGAAACTAGAGCTAAGTTAAACTTTAATACTTTAAAATATTTCTTTGGTAAAACACTCCATTTAAATGCCCTTTCAGGTGGCGCAAACGCACAGTTCTGGATGACATAAGGGCCTGCGAGTCCTTCCTGCGCAAGGAGCGACGGGATAGCGCCCAGCAGCGCCAGTTGCAAAGACAGTCGGTACCCTCTCGGTTGCGCCGCGAGAACAGCTACGTTTACAGGGAACGATCGATCGATGATGGCTCGCACTTCGATCCGCATCTGGACAAATACCCGGTGGCCACCAGCACTTTGCGTCGTCGGGAGCAGCACTCTCAGTCACAGAGCCAATCCCAATCGCAGGGCCAAAAGAGCGAAGATTCCAGCACTTTGAAGCGAAACAAGAAGCTGGGTGGCTTCGAGAAGGTGAAACAGCTGTTCACAGGCGCCGGCGGAAGCGCCAGTAATGGCGGCAGTGGTCGCAGCAGCGGCAGCAATGTGTCCAGTGGCAAGAAGGATCGAATGAGCAACGGCAACAGTAGCACCCTCAGTCGCCGCGACAAGGATAAGGAGCGCGAGAAGGAGAGGGAGAAGGAACGAGAGAGGGAGCGCTACATGGTCAGAGAAGAGGAAATGCGGTCGCGGTATCGCGAGCATCACACCTCAGCCCAGGAGACCTCACGCGAACCAAAGGTAAGTGCATGTTCCCAAAAAATATATATATTAAATAATATATATATTTTAACAGCATATATTACTTTGTGATTAATTTTTCAATAACTGGAAATATTATTATTCTATTACAATCTGATTAATTTTTTAATAACTGAAAAGAGGTAGTGGATGATTAGATCGTTTGATTAGATTATCCACTTGAAGTAATATTATTTATTTTAAAAACTTTTAGGATCTTGAGATTTTTAATCAAGATGAAATACCAAAACCTTTTGTTTAAAAAATATACTTATCTTCCATTCATTCCGTAGCCTTTTTAAAGTTTTTTTTAAACCCAATTTTAAGCCTCCTTTAAATTTAACATGCGGACGAAAAAAAGGCTGCAAGACTGGAATTAGTTTTTACTCTTTTTGTTACCTTATATTTTTTTCGATTTAATAAATTACAAATATTTGGCTATAGAATGAAGGGTGAAACTCAAGGCATGTAAGAGTTCTTGTTGTGCAACTGCTGCTAGCCCCTTTGGCCTAATGCCCAATTGATGGCGCCAGCCGGCGGTCATTAACCCGGGTGGCTGGCCAAGATCATCGAGTTTTTCTTTTTTTGGGAATCCAGACCCTCGCCGACTCATTTGGTCATGGTCGGCTATTATTAATTTCGAATTAATCAAGACTTGTGTCGATGGGTCTTACATTTTTGGGGGAGTAGCAGTAGGAGTAGGCTAGGTAGTCCGAGTACCAACCGATGTTTGGTCAATTGTTCTGATCTGCCCCAAAACCGAACCACTTCCTGCTCCGGTCAGAAATCTCTGGGCAAACCCAGGTGGGCGTCGGAGGCCGGCCGAAAATGGTGCCAAGCCAAGAAGACAAGACGTCACGTCCACTTTGGGGCACATATCTTCTTCGGGGGATTCCGGGGGATTCTGGGGGGATTCTTGGGGGGATCAAGATGCCAAGACCATAAAGAAATACTCGCAAGTAATAAACGACAACTGGCCAAATAGAGTTGCAAACGGAACGAAAAGCGCTAAAACGAAAAGAGCTAAACAATTCAGCGACGAGGCGTCGTATAAATTTCGAGCAAGAACAAAAGCGTTGAGGGTCGCGCATCGGGAGAAGTATGGTTATATATATATATATACGTATAAGATATAGAAGTGGAAGACCCACGCAGCTGCTGTCATTGTGTCATTCAGGCAGCCAGTCAGTTTGTCACTCTGTCAGTCCGTTTGTCAGTGCGCTCGCAAATTAAGAAAGCTGACAGCGAAACGACAAACATCGGGGCGGGGGAAATTGAATAAACTGGGCTTAGATTTGGATGCGGATTCGGATTGGGCTCTTTTCTGTGCCCAGATTCCAATGCAAAACGGTTGGCAGCTACTGTTGTTGCCGAGGTGTTGCTGTCCACATTGCGCAACTTGCAACTGCAACAGTTGCTGCTGCGTGCCGCAAGCCAATTTGCAATGCTTCAGCGGATTTCTTGGCCAAGTCTAAGAGGGCTAGAGGATGTTGCCACTTTTCGTTCTGCCGGATGTTCCAAGTGGGCGGCCAAAAACGCTTATAATCAGCCAGTGGGCTTAAGGGAACAATTCGAGGGGAAAAGAGGAGGATGCAGGCCCATCCTGCAGGAGTTTCGGGCCAAGGTGTGGCCGCCGCCTCGGACCGTTGTCAAAAATTATGCTTGCGTGATAGAGGTATTTATAACTGAGCCTCCTCTTCCCTGGGACAATGTGCTGCCATTATTCATGGGGGCATGGAGCAGCATCCAATAAAAACATGCCGCCCGAAGTGTTCCGCAGAAATCTTTAAGTGCTGGCCATTCATTCCACAGATTCTACATGCCCGAAAAAAAACACACACACGCGAAAGAGAAACCGCTGAGATTTGTGTCAATAATTCTGTTAGCTTATTTATGGGTCCCCAACTTGGTCATAAACTATATTGGGATATTGGGACGCAGTTGCGGGTTCTGGGCACACATATTTGAATACGTAATTTTTTAGTGGGTGCGTAATCCCTGGCTTATTGTTAGGTGCCACAATAAACTAGAACTAGTTCGGGGGTTGGGCACCTGCTGCCTCTCGATTCAATTTGAAATGCAATACTCAGCCTGGGAGGAGGGCGGCCTTAACCAATACCCACCACCCACCCCCTGCCTTAACCCAATGCCCAAAACCCAATACCTATTACAGTTTCAACCGCAAGTGGGCCAAAGTTGCATTGGGCCGGCCAAAACGAGCCGACGACTCACAGTCGCATTCACAAATGGAAGAAACAAGTTTATTGGCCGGCCCCCCTTCCTCCACTCCCCCACTTGGCTACGCGCATAAAGGCCACCTGCCCCACATTCGCAACCTGTTGCGAGGCAGTGGGTGAAGCCGACCTTTGACCCGAAAGCGAAAGCAAACCGCCCACTAAATCGAACCTGGCTCGCAAAGGGAGCAATATCAATCAAATTGCTCATCTAATTGCAGTATCTGTGGGAATTCTACTTCGTAGTGGGAGTTTCTGGTTTTTGCTTGTTAAGCTGTAACGAAATATTTAAGTAGTCACATTTATTTATAAAGATTATGGTAAAGTTTACAAAACTAGAACTAACATGAGGAGTATTTTTATGGGAATATGTTAAATGTTAGTAAATTATTTCATTCAATTTTTCTTTTCTACTTTTAAGGCATTTTTCAGGAATTTTATTATAGTAAGAAATTATAAAAAGAAAAACAAGAGATACTATCAGATACTTGTTACTCAGCTGACTCATATGTTAAATGTTAGTAAATTACTCCATTATATTTTTCTTTTCTAATTTAAAGGCATTTTTCTGGGATTTTATTATAGAAAGAAATTATAATTATAATAATTACACTATGCAGCATCAAAAATTAACCTCGATGAATGCTATATTTTTGGATTCGTTACGAATTCCCAAGTTAAACTGCGTTTTCAAAGAGTTCCCCGACGCAAGGATTCTTAGCAAAAGGACCTCAAAGTTCAAAAATGCTGAAATTGACCAACTTTGCGGAGCTCTCAGAGGCAAATGGATGCATGGCTTGGTTCGAAGTTAGTTTTTTAAAAGATACACCCTTTATCTTTCAAACCCCATACATAAAATAATTTTAGGATTTTTTTAAGGCAGAAATAAATTCCAAAAAACATAGTCAAAAAACTAAAAAACATACAGCTGCGGTCAAAATAGTAGCAGTGTTGCCGCCTTGTGTTTTTAAAGTTTCATGTTGTAATTTTTTCTTATCCAATTAGTCTAATAGTACAATTATAATCAATACAATATTACCAGGAAAAGATCAATTACAACAACAAACTTTTAAATACACAGGGCGGCAACACTACTACCATTTTGACCGCAGCTGTATACTTTTATGTTTTTTGACTATGTTTTCTAGAATTTGTTTCTGCCTTAAAAAAATCTTAAAAATTTTTTATAAGGGGTTTAAAAGATAAAGGGTGTATCTTTTAAAAAACTTTAACATCGAATCAAACAATGCATCCATTTGCCTCTGAGAGCTCCGCAAAGTTGGCCAATTTCAGCATTTTTCGAACTTTGAGGTCCTTTTGCTAAGAATCCTTGCGTTGGGGAACTTTTTGGAAAACGCAGTTTAACTTGGGAATTCATGACGAATCCAAAAATATGGCATCCATCGAGGTAAATTTAAAAAGGACTAAAAATGCTGCACAGTGTTATTAAATGAAAAACAAAGGATACTATCAGATACTCGTTACTCAGCTAATGGGAGCTCGAGGGAGATATGCAGCTACTGGCTCCACCTAGCGGGCATTTCACCCTGTTACTCTACGAGTACAATAAGAATATTATATTTTTTGATGACAGCGTTTTTGAAATGGCAATTACAATTTCAGATAAAATTGCCTAATTAAATTAACTTTGATGGTGTGTGAATTGGAGCTAATTTTATTATCTTTCTTTTCTACCCATCTAGACTATCGATATCTCGATGCGACGCCGTCTGTCCACGCCCAAAGCTAGTCCCCTGCTGTTGAAGCGCAGTCCGGCGGACAAGCCGCCCAAAAAGCAGCCAAAGGCGAAGGAGTCGCCGCCCGCTAAGGTCGAGAAGACGAGCTGGTTCAGATCGCTGGACCGGCGGGTCAAGAGCAGTCCCAAGGAGGTAAGGATCTCACAGTAGACACTATCCCAGTAAATTCGTCTTGATTTACATACATTAACTTTCAGCTCAATGTGTCCGTGAATGGACACAGTGAGACCACTTCGAGCCTGAAGCGGACCAAACGCAACCCGACAGCTGCTCCGGCCAAGAATCTGCGCTTCTTCGGCGACACCGATCTGGACTCGAATCCGCCGACCATTTCCAAGGCCACCAGTCTGCCAAGGTAAGGCGGTATTTAATTGAATTAATTTTTAGGAGATTTTTAACTGATTTTATTTATTTTTGTTTTGCAGGAGTCGTCCATCGCTGGGTCAGTCGAAGCACTCGCAGAGTGCCTACCACCTGGACCGCAGTCCTCCGCCTCCGGCACGCGACTACCGCCACACGCTGGCTGGCCAGGCTCAGGTCCAGAATCAGAATCCCAAACTAAATCAGAGCGCCGGCAGTCGCCAAAGGGCCAGCTCCATGCAGCATCTGGACAATGGCAGCGACGAGGTGGACTTCCGCAAGAGGCGCCACTACTCGCGCTCCCGCGAACTCCACGACATCTCGGAGAGCGGCTCGGAGCCGGAGCCGGCGGAGCGGCACAAGCGGAGCAGCACGGCGGGTCAGCGAGCCATGTCGCTGGAGAGGACGGTGGACGGGCCGCGTGGCCAGCGGATGGAGGATCGTCCGCTGATGGGACCACCAAAGCCGGCCAGAAGTGCCGAACGCCGTGGACTGCTCAACAGTTTGGGCCAGGAGAATGTGGGCTACGGCAGGTGGGTAATCAAAACTAATAATAATAGCAAATTTCACCCAGAACGGATTGACATAAAAATCTAAAAAAATCACATTAATTACTAATATTTTAATATAATATTACGCAATATTATTTAATATTTTTTTTAATCCTGACTAGGGATCGCTATCCGGCCGAGAGTTCCGGCACCGAGGGCGAGTCCAGTCTGCACAGCCAGCGCAGCGTGGTCTATCTGCACGCCACCACGGTGGGTGACATCCCACAGCCATACAATCTGCGCAGGCGGTCAATGTCACGCGATGACCTTCGCAAGGGCAAGCAGCAGGCCCCCCAGCAGCCGCCGCCCCTCCAGCCCATGACCCGCACCGTCTCCAGGTCCGTCTCCATGCTGGCCCCCTGGAAGCCCAAGCACATCAGCGAGGGCTACGAGATCAACTACTCGCAGGAGCAGAACAAGCGGGTGAGCTGGGAAAATCCTTTATTTTCTAGTACTTGACTTACTTAAACATTGATATTTCTTCAATGGTAATTCATTTTTTTATGGCTGCTATATATGGGATTTTTATTCACGTCCAGAACTATTTAGGGAATTAAGATTCAAAATTAAAGAAGATCTCTGAAAGCGAAAATCAAGTTTGTTTATTCATTAAATTATAATTTTGGTCTTCTGCCCGATAAGACCCTATGATTTGAAACTGGTTTTTGGTAGAGAATCGGTGAGCAAAGGTGATCAAGAAAATTAAGTCTGAACAAATTTGTTGAAATGCTTAATGGATTTTCGGCACGGCATTGAATATATATATAGAGCTTTCAATTAAATCAGTGTGTTTTTGCATTATTTCCCACATATAAATAACGAATTTTAATTAGAATGTAAAACAACAGAGGGATTTTCGTATTCGTAAATGCTTTTAATTTTTTACGAATTTACTTATAAAGATTTTCAATGCCCCACAGATGTCCACACTGCCGCGGAAGCCACCACCACATAATGGAGCCACCAGTGCCAGCACCTTGAGCCGTCTGGGCCGCAAGAACGAGACTTCCACGTCGACGCGACGCTACCACATGGACAATCTGGAACGCCCGCCACCACCGCGGTCGGTGCTCTCGGCATCGAATTTACGCAGCACCCGGACGAAGTGACGAAGACGACCCACGAGAAGCCTCCACCCGGTGCTCCAATGTGGAGGTCCCGAATCCAACCACACCTAGTTGCTAGTTGTAATCATTAATGCGAACTCGAAACGTAATTCTAATCAATTCAAACGATGGAATGAAGGAGGAGGATGCGATGTCCTCGCTTAGTTGCGTAGGATTCTTTAACCTTTGTTGCAATTCTCGTCATATTTTAAATGTGAAATGTATTCGTACTCCAGTAATAATTATAAATTAATAAAATATCAGACTTTAACTTAGATAAAATTGGTTTCGTTTATTAAAGCATGGGTTTCAAAAGCGCTCGATTTCGTTCATGAAAGGTTCAGCATTCAAATTAGTTATATTTTTGCGCCAAAAATGATGGTGATGCCAGACCAAACTGCATTTAGTCGAGTTAGCCACCCTGTACCAGTGACTTTAAAACTTTAAGCACTCTTCATGGAAGAGGAAGAACGGATGGCGCCTTAATTCAAAATTTTAAAAAAATATTACAATTTGTGTAGGTAAATCGAAAGGGAAAAAATAATTAAAATTTTTATTTTTAAGGAAAGGAAAATTTTAAAAATATCGAAAAAAATTTTGTAAATTGTTTATCCTTATTTTTTTGAGCCAATTTAAAATCATAAAGACTAATTGATGTGCATGTAGTATATAACACATTGAGAATTATTATTCTATCTTAATTATTATACAAATTTCTCTAGTAGGTACTCGGATTAATTCGATGGCCAATTATAGAAGAACTGCATCTGTTGACCGATTGCCCATCCAAAACTAAACCCCAGCCAACGCCCAACGGTCACGCCCACCGACTGCATGCTGTGTGCAGCGAGAAAAAAGGAAAATATGTATAAAGCAAAGGGGAAAACTCAACATAAATTATTTTTCACGCAGCTAATAAATTATTCGCAGTCACTCAACACCCAGCAAAAACACATTTCCGCCGGCACGCTCTCCTGCAACTTTCGGCTGCAGTCCCTCAGCTTGACTCGCCTCGTCTCGATGCTGCTGCGTTTTCAAGGATAATTGCGAAAAATACAGGCTCCCAGTCAACTTTTCGCTTTCTCGCCGGCGGAGAAGAGTTAAGGGGCAAGTGGCTGCGGCTTGGTATTTTGAAGTTGAGCAATAAATTTATAGCTTCGCCGAGGGCGTTTGTTTTTATATGGAAATCCGCCGGCGAGCCCCCACCTAAAAGTATGCGGAAAAAATAAGCAGGAGTTGGTAATGAAAAAATTGCTTGAGAATATTTTCTTGGAGTAAACAAGATTTATTTGAAAAATTTCTCTTCAATTTCAGTTTAGCGAACGATATCGCCAGCCCTTTCTTATTAATCCCCGTGGCAGCCATTTAATCAGCACCTGTTTTCCACCTGTCGCATAAACATATATATCCTTGTATCCTTACGTGTATGCATGCGCTGACACAAAGTGGACACAATGCGAGTGGATGTTTATTGTCCCCGGGAAGACAATCATCTGTCATCTGTCATCCAATGGGTGCAGTTTTGCCATAATTAATTTCCCGCCCACTCACGTGTACATTCGTTATTTGTTAAATGCAGTAAATGGGGTAAATTGTAGGGTTTTTAATTTTCCTAAGTAATCGCAATGCGTAGCCCAGTTGACAGTGCAAAGTGGGGCAAGAAAAGTGATAAGGGGATCACACTTCAGTAGATTACACACTGCAATCGCCAGTAAAAGGGGATACAAAATGGAGAAAAACCAGGCAAGTCCAAGGGACGCGGTAAATTGATTAATTAAACGTTTTTTGGCCACAACTATCTGGCAAAGAGAATACACAAAATCAATGGCTTGTCAAGTGGATTTCAATTAGTGGGTTTTTCTAACTCACGGCACCTAATTAAAGCCCTCGAAATTTTCAATTAATTACATCGTTTTGAGCTGCAGCAAGCAGCAACTGTCATTTAATGAGGCTCACAAATATCACATTTTAATTGGCTGCATATCACCAACAAATGAGATATCAAATTTATTAGCTGCCTACCATGCATCAGATTTAGGGCATAACTTGAATTAATTGATTTTCCCGGTAATAGGTGCGAGCGTAGAATTTATTGAAAGGAAATAAATACCAAATTAACTCTTGGCTGGTGGTTTTTACATTGACCATCCATCAGATAAATATGCAAATTATGGATTATTAAACATTAAGTATTTGACTTTGCCGCCATGATTAAATACAAAACTAAAAAAAAAGCGCAGAAAGGCAAATTGTGGCAGCAATTATTATTATTACCATTTTTTTGCGAAAGAGAGAGTGAAATTACATTTAAAAATATTTATTATATTTATTATGGCCAGAGACAGAAGCAGAGGGAGGTGGTTTCGCAACCCTTTATATTTCAATTTATGGCTTTAAATTAATCCAGGCAAATAATGCTGACAATTATGGATTAAATGTGTCAATAATGCAAGTGTTAACAAATTGCTTTTGGCCCAGGAGTGTCCATTGCACAGCCATCTCCCAGGGATTTGCCTACGGAAGTTGGAAGCTGGTAACTGGAGCCGGGACTAAGGACTCAGGACACAGGACACTGGACCTCCACCTGCAGCCAACTGAACGACCCTTAATTAATGCCCAAACATTTTTAGAATTAATGCCCACTTGTCAGCGTGGCATCCGAGATAAATGGTCGCCCAGAGGTCAGCGGTCGAGGAGACCGCACCGAAGCCACTGACTTGTGTTTGGCATGGGATTCGGTTTCAGGATTCGGCATCCGACGGATGCGAATGCATGTGTGCATGCCGTGCGGTTGAGCTCCAAGTGCCGTTTGCAAGTCGCCTGCCTATAACAATAATTGCAATTCGGTTGTGTTCGCATTTCAATGCAAATATTTACGTATGCATGAGCGTAAATTGGTTTTGCACAAATCGCAGACACAAAATGCCATATTGTGTGAATAATTAATTTTTGAAAATGTAATTACTCCAATCGATATCGGGTAGGGAATGAAAAGGAAGTGGGGAAGCTTAAGGAAGTCTATTTATGATTCCTTATCCTGGCTATCCGCATAAACAACGGAGTATTTGGAAAAACCTTAGAGAAATTTGCATATGTCGGGAACAGGCAGTCCCCTGCTTTCCTTCCCTCTTGGAAAACAACCATTTATCAATTAACCGAGAGCGGGAATCGTCTGCATCGGGGCGCCAATTAATTTTCGCTTTTGGGAATCAACAAACACAGTGGCAAGAGAAAAAAAAAACCAAAAAGTTGATTAAGGACACAGTAGAAGGGGAGGCAGCATTCAAATGCGGAAGCGATAAAAGTGGTAGCGAACGCTTATGTAATCCCTATCCCGTCCTCCAGACGTCCGGAGATAGTTGCTCCAAGTTCGCCGCCTCCACGGCTAATTAATCATCGACGTTTATCCGACTTGATGCAGAACTAAACAAATCGTTTCAAATTATTAAAATCATTTATAATGCGAACGATGACGATGAGCCACGCAATCCGGCGGACTCGGCGGCAAAGGAAGAAGGACGAAGGATGAAGGATGTGCCGCGTGCGTCTGGCGCCGCAGCACTGAAGATGGCCACGTCCGTGGCGTGTAGCAACTGCTCCTGCTGCTGCTCCTGCTCCTACTCCCAATTCTGTTTCTGTTTCTGCTGTTGCCATACATAAATCAGTTGCCCATATTAACCTCCTCTCCGGCTGGCGGAGAGATAGGGACGAAGGAAGAGGAAGCCAGGACACTCCACTTCATTGGGGATGTGCTCGTGCTCACCAGTCATTTTCCATAATTGGTGGTGATAAGAAGTGGAAGGGGTGCGCTTGGTAGGAAAAGTGTAACTAGGTTACATTAATATTTTTCCTCTATTTTATTACATTACATCTACAACTGAAATCTCAAAAAAAATTCCCACTGAATAAAAAGGTTTGTTAAACTAAACGCAATTAAATAATCCCTTAATTTAAGCGGACTACAAAATAGTATTAGAACAAAGCTACAGCTCTAAAATATGAGTCAAATATTATATTATTAATGACATTGTTTTACTTAAGCCTTTGAACTTTAAATTATTTTAATCGTTGTAATTGTTATTATTAACCATTTCCTATTTCCATATTTTCAGTTACCATCTCTAGAGCTCTGGATCCACTAACTATTCGCAGTTTTAGCCGCGTCCGCTTTTGCTTTCCCATTCGCCTTCTCTTATGGACCGGCGTGACCAATTAAAGTCGATGTTGTGCGTTTTATTTATGTCTTCTTGCGGCGAGCGGGACAGGAGTGGAGTGGGGGGAGGTCCTGCAGGAGCACCGCATTCGCTACGCCTTCCATTTCCTCATTATTCGCACATTCGTTAGGGAGCGGGCACATATTTCTCGCAGTCAGCTTATCTCGCAGGCGCTGACAGGCAGGAATGCGGGGCAAAAGGACCTCCCTTCCCTTCCCTCCCATCCGCACACCCCTCACTCCACACACATACTATGTTTATACGATAGCAATCACGATTTCTTAAAAGCGCGAAATAGAAATAACCCCTGTTTATACGACAGCCAAAAATTCATGCTTTTATTCACTCTCAGCTGATAGGGATGCCGGACCGGCAAAAATATCTAATTTTTAATACCACTGATTAGAGATATAGCCTATAAAAGGCCTTCAATTTCTAGCGACCTGGCAACGTCGATCATTTTTTACAGAGTTACCATACTGCATATCACCAAATCACGCTTTTGGGCTGAAATCATAGTCAACTTTCGTGTGTTGCCGAATTCACGAAATGGCGTTTATACAGCACGAATCGGCCGAAAGCGTGAAATGATAGCGTGAATTCGGCATCGTATAAACACAGTAACACACACACACACAGACAAAGCACGCAAGGACATCGCAGCCGAAATAAATTATGTGTCCGTCGCGTCCAGCTGAAAACGTAAACAAAATTCCAAGGATGTAGAAGTTGCGAACCTGGAAGAAGGAGCTGCTCTGTCTGTTGACCATGGTCAGGACTTTCGGGGCAGGTTAACCTTGAGCCGGCGGCCAACGCGTGGTATACTCGATTTGATTATCCCGATTTGTGTTTGCCTCGGGCAGCTGCAATTGCCGCCATTAAATCCAAAAACCAAACACTCGAACAGAAGGCTAAGCAAATACGTGCCGAACATATAAATTTCAATAAATCCATTTATGCCTGGCCCGCAAACTGTGGCTGCAAAATGTCCAGACACTCGAAACTAATTTGCGGTCGACTGGGCGAGACTGTAAGCGCTGAGCACACATAAATCCACTATAT